GCATTCAGAAAACGACTGTGTGACGTAAAGAACGTACAAGAGAGTGATAAATGGTCAGAGGAAAGGAAGGGAAAAATGTCCTTTTCCTCTGTTTTTCTTCGCTTTCTCCGAATGAATGGAGTTCTGTTTAGTTGACTTCGAAACCAGTAGTCATTATTTTGACAGTAACCCACCAACAGAAGGTTAAGTCATTACAGAGGCATCCTAGGCCACTTTCAACACTCAGATATTTCAGGCATTTCTTTCAGAAGTAGTAACCAACCAGCAAAGAGTCTGGAGAGAGTCGACCTTCAGCGTGAATGGACACCATGTAGCCTACTCTTTTTTTTTTTTTTTTAAATACAAGGCTTTGGGAAATGTTTGCTTTTTTGTCACCACTTTTTTAGAAAGACATTTTTCAATGTTACGTCAGTATTACAACACATTGAAAATGAACTCTTTTCCTGCATTTGAGGGAATTTTCCGGCAATCCGTGTTTTCACTGTTATACGGTAGGAGGCGCTATTACACATTGTCTGAAAGTCTACAGAATCTCCAGATCAAAACACAGGCGAAAAAGAAGCAGGAACAAGTGATAAAGGCTGAAATGGCACAACAGTACGCGAAAAAACAGTACGCGACAAAAGAAGTATGTCTGAATTCACAGTACTCATAAAAGAGTAGGCAAAAAGTACCCGGATGACTTACTTCTTCCTGTGAGATTCTGAAACGTGCATAAGATGGACACTTTACAATCCCATGAGGCCACGGGAGAGGATTTGTGAATGACAGTGAAGCGATGCAACTGACGCTGGTAGGTCACATGATCATGACAGCATGGTGAATGTAGTACTACGTCCAGAATACATTCATACTACACAAACACTCATACTATAATATGAGTGTTTCGGGTTTTCGCTATAAAAATGAGATTTTCACAGCTTTTTGTTCCAAATTTAGCTTTTTTTACTAATCATACCCACATTCAGTTGGTCAAAAAAATAATGCATGAAACTAGAATTTGTTTTTTGTTTTTAAGCAGAGGGTCTGTTCTTTTGATATATTGCAAAATATTCTGGTGGCCATGACATTTTTTGTGAAAATTATTAAAAATGCTGTAGTGATGTATTGAAATAATGAAAAATGAATTATGCATACATAACTAATAAATATAATTTTAAAAAAAAACTTACTATTTATTAAGAATTTTATCAAATTATTTTACTTTTTTTTTAATATTAATGACATTAATACCTTAAATACCATAAAAAGTCCATAAGCAGGTAAGCAAGAATGTGAATGTTTCTTCTGTTTTGGTTCATTTGTCATCGTCTCTTTGATGACGTGTCCTGATTTATACATTTCAAAATGTGTAGTTTGTCCTCAGGTTCTGAAACAACATTAGATGTTTGGGAACTTCATTATGATTTGATACCTTCCTCTTTTGCTAATGCCAATTTGTAAGATATGTTTAAACTGAATCATGCCAACAGGTGGATAGTTCTGTGTGGCTTCAAACTGCTCAAGCATCAGTTTTGTGTGGATCCAGTGCCACAGTTTTATCATCCTTTGTGATAGTGTTGCCCTCTGGTGGTACACTTGCGTGTTTACATGTTCATGTATACATGTTGCAGCAAAACACAAGGTCAAAAACTGATATTACAATTAAGAAAAAATCTTTATATGCAGAAAGTAACTCAATACATACATGACTTTGTAATTAAATGTTTGTTTGGATCCAGTGTGTTTTCTGTGACATGGCTATGCAATATCAGCAATAATATCCATTTTAAATTTTCCAAAACTCTTACCCGATCAGTTTTATCAGCTACCGGTATTGAAACTCTTGTTATAATGTCACTGAATCTAGAAGGAAACAAATAGCGCAGCTCTGTCTCCTGGATATCCCTAGGCATAAAAAGCAGGGGTTAAACTTCGTAACGAGAGTATATAGCAGTGGAAAAACGTGACTCACACTGTAAGGATGGTGGGGTTCAGACAGGGGCAGGTCTGGCTGAAGGGGGTTCTTCTGAGGGAACTGGGTCAAGTCTCTGGGTCCAGGATGAGATGAACGACAGATGAAAGGGATACTGTAGGATATTAGTTCTGCCCGTACCAGAGCTCAAGACCTACAGATTTAGATTTGTTCAGATACAGCAATGAGTCTTGTGACTAATTGGTGACATCGTGGTTTGAGCTCCTATAAGCATAGAAACAGATATGTGACTGCATTATTGTTTGTACGTCACGGAACGGCATTGCAGATATCACACATAGATGCATAGATTTATTCAATATGCAAAGGTATTCCTATCTGATGTGATTGCACTCAATGAACTTTCTTGTGGTAAAAAAAGTCACTCTGTTCATTTACCTCTAGAGGGCGATCAGAGGACATAACAGAATAAAACAATGGATGTTTGACAGTTTAGCATCAAGTTATAAAATAATATTATTTTTTATTATAATAATAAATTCAGTATTACAGTAAACACATTAGAGCTATAACACAAAACACTAATACTGTATATATTAACCTTAACGCTATAGGTATGTTTCCGGGACTATATCTTATATCTTAAAAGATCCAATTAATGTACTAAAATTATATTTTAATGTTCTTAATATTTTCACTATGTAGTAACCATTGTATTTAAGCAATAATGTGCTCAATTCTGCTGAATTGTGAATAGCAAAAAGGGTTGTAAAGATTCCACTTTAGTACTGATATTCACAATATAGCTCGGGCTTTATTTTTTTATTTTTTTATTATAAGCAATTGTTCTGGTTTCTTGATGCTGGTTGGTCAGTACTTCCAAGCATGCTAAAAACAACCTTAACCACAAAGGTAAAGCCTCACTGCATGTGTTTGGTACATAGTTTACATTAGCTAGATATCAGCAGTATTAAATGACATGTGATCTGTTGCAGGAACACGAGAGAGATAATGGGGATGAATTGAGGATTAGTAATGCAGCAGGCACCACCATGATAACAAGTTGTCAGATGCAGGTCTGGAATCCACAATAGATAAATGATGTCTGTGAGTGTGAACTCTCATCATAAAAACGATAGGAGACCGATCTTAAATTGGCATGGACATAATATTGAAAGTCATACCAGTCAGAAAGTTTCTACTGTTCTTGTGTAGTTTCTCTTATGGTTGTTGATTAAACTAATCAGAAGCAGCATTTGATTTGCTATGTCATTGAGTCCTCCTTAAATTACTGTATTTAAGTGGAGCTGGGCTGGCACACCTTTTTACTCTGCTTAATATTTCTCAAGGTAGTGTGGCTTCTTCTTTTTTTTAAGTTTCAATGGTAAATACCATTGAACATTTCAACCTTTATTGCTCAGGGAAAAAAAGATGCATTTTTCATCTAAGACATGTTGACATTTTGTGACAACGTGCTCCAGTGGGGTAGCCTATGTCACACTATGGGAAAGTTGTCAGTGGAGTCAGCCATTAAAGTTAATCGCTTTTTATTGCCAATGTACAACAGCTTGTAACAAAACTTTAAAAAGACACCTTCCCCAACGTCCTAGGTTCTCTGTGAAAGCCTGCTGTTTTTATGTGAAGGACTCGGGACATTTTCGCCGGGGAAACATCAAAGGATGTGACATTTATGCGCGATCCCGAGCCTCTTCCGTTCAATGACACATAAAATGAACGCTTAAACTATTACAGTGTGGATAATGCCGAAAAAGCCTTTACCTTGTCAATGAGTAATGCAAAGAAAAGGGGTTAGTTAAAAGTGCCAACACTATATTGCCTCAATATTATAGGCTAGGCCTACTATTGGATCTGTCGGTGATTGGCAGAACTGGTGCAAACATATTCACAGATCGCTTAGATCAGATGCTGTGTTCTCACCGCTGTCATTTTTGGTGTGTTTTTTTTTTTTTTTTTGAGAGGAAGCGTGCAACACATTTACATATTCATTTAAAAGTTGCTCTCAACACCACGGACGGCGTCCCGGTGTACCTTAAAGGGATAGTTCACTCAAAAATGAAAATTCTGTCATCATTTACTCACTCTCAAGTTGTTCCAAACCTGTATGAATTTATGTGCTGAACACAGAAGACGATATTCTGAAGAATGTTGGTAACCAAACATGGGCCCAATGGGCTCTATGCACGGCGGTATTTCCGGTGAAGGTCTAAGGATGCTGGATTACTTCCGCCGATCGTAGAGTCCAATGCTAGGCCTATACCGAGAATTTATATTGGTTTTTATACTCTATTGCTATACTAAAGAAACGTTAGTCACAAAAACAGACAAAACAGACACCCCTCGTTTTGTTTATCCTTCTTTGTTTATTATATTAAATAAACTATATATAAAATTACATCTAAACGTATTAAAGTTTCGTTTCAAAGACGAGATAACAGTACATTTTTTTTGAAGACTCTGCCATAATCCAGTTTTCCTCGGTTTTCCTCCGCTTTAAATCTTCCCAACCGGAAATGCAAGAGCATCCTTGCATCAAACGCAGAAGTTATGCGTGCATATAGCCCATTGTCTGCCATAGTATTTTTTTCATACTATGGAAGTGAATCAGGTCCATCAGTTTGGTTACCCATTCTTCTAAATATATTCTTTTGTGTTCAGCAGAAGAAATAAATTCATACAGGTTTGGATGGAACAACTTGTGAGTGAGTAGCCTTATGATGACATAATTGTCATTTTTGGATGAACTATCCCTTTAACAGTATGTCAAAGGTATTTCCAACTTATAACCCAGTAAAGAACTTATAACCCAGTAAATACATCGGGGCCTTACATCACGTTCAGTCTCTTGTACGTTACGAGTGCACGAGTGCGAGCATAAAAGAATGTTTATTCATATAATTATATATGTATCAAGTGTGGGACTTGATATAAAATATGTATTATTTTAGTTTAGTTTTCTTAATGTTTTGCAGTGTTGCCTATAAGAAACAAGTTCTTGATAAATGGTTGAGTATAAGGGGAGGAGGCTGGTGATGACATCCACCTCATCTGTACCTGCGTGAAACCATCCAGATGGAAAATGCTTTTCTTTTCTCGTTGTGTTTGAGTAGTCTATTTTATAGGACTTACAGCGCAAAAATGTCAATGTTCTTTATGCGTGCCCAAATGGTGCCTATGCAACTTTGAAGATTTTTAGACGTTTTACTGTATGAAAGATGAACGCATCTCAGGAGATTCACTTCTCCCCCACCTGGAAAGTTGAGTCGGTAATAATTTCTGTCATTTTCTCTATCATATTTTTGGTTGGTACTGTGGGGAACTGTCTTGTGCTCGCAGTTCTCATCCGCAACGGCCAGATGAACACAAAGAGCACCAACCTGTTCATCCTGAACCTCGGGCTGGCGGACCTCTGCTTCATCGTCTTCTGCGTGCCTTTCCAGGCTACCATCTACACCATGGATGAGTGGGTATTTGGACCCTTCATGTGCAAAGCTGTGCACTTTATCATCTACCTGACCATGTACGCGAGCATCTTTACTCTGACAGCTGTGTCTCTGGACAGGTTCGTTCTTATCCTGTTACGCACAAACAGCGCGCGCTTTTCTTTCCAATTCAGCGAATCGTGAAACGCGTAATTGATTGAGATGTTGTATAGCCACTTTAGCCAGTAATAATATCCAATAAATAATTGTATGTAGGGCAGTGTTAGCATGCACGGCACCTATCAGAATAGTACAGAAAGAAACGTTAACTACTATTTGACTACTATTTGACGGTGTGTTAAATCATTTTTAATTCTCTTGGTTTGGTACTGTTTTGAAAACAATGCAATTCTTTAATAATGCATTTTAGGGATTAACATATGTTAAGCACTTTTAAAATGAAATGATTAATATAATCATAACATCCTACTGCATGTGAAAGATAGCCTATTTGTACAAAATAATGGCTGAATTGCAATGTTTTTTTGTTTATTGCTAAAATAAATTATATATTTTTTGTATTCTTTCCTATTGTGACGTACATCCGAGTCAAACAGCTCAATTCAGAATAAAATGTGTTGTGGGACTTGATTTTGTCCATCAGGAATTGATTGGAACATTGTAGTTTGCTATTGCTGTGATCTCATCATAGGATCTCATGCGAGTGACACAGTTTGTCCCGCCCCCGTGCCAGTAAACACGTCATCAGAGAAAAGAAGAGACCTTAAAGGGATAGTTCACCCAAAAATTAAAATTAGCCAATGATTTACTCACCCTCAAGTCATCCTAGGTGTATATGACATTCTTCCTTCAGACGAATACAATTGGAGTTATATAAAAAAATGTCCTGGCTCTTCCAAGCTTTATAATGGAAGTGAATGGCAGTTTCTCTTTTGAAGTCCATAAAAGTTCATCTATCCATCATAGAAGTGCTCCACACGGCTCCGGGGGGTTAACAAAGGCCTTCTGAAGTCAAGTCATGCGTTTGTGTAAGAAAAATATCTATATTTAAAACTTTATAAAGTAAAATAACTAGATTCCGGCCAAACGAACATACAGATTCCACTTAAGTGTAAAGCGCAACTTATCCGAGTAATGCGACGTATACTGCTTATATTTACGCTACGCCATGACGCACTACACTACTTCCGACGTCACAAGTTGCGTAAGTTGTGCATTAGGCGCAAGTAGACTGCGTATGGGCGGAAGCTAATTTTACTCTGTAACGTATTAAACGCAAGGCTTCACTTCAGAAGGCCTTTATTAACCCCCAGGAGCCGTGTGGAGCACTTTTATGATGGATAGATGCACTTTTATGATGGATAGATGCACTTTTATTAACAGAAACAGCAATTCACTGCCATTATAAAGCTTGGAAGAGCCAGAATTTTTTTTAATATAACTTCGATTGTATTCGTCTGAAAGAATGTCATATACACCTGACTTGAGAGTGAGTAAATCATGGGCTAATTTTCATTTTTGAGTGAACTATCCCTTTAATGCAAGAGGGAAGGGGAGTTATTTTGATTACGAGGGAACATGAAAAAAAATTATGATAATGAAAAAAATGAACACTGCAATATAAAAAAGATTTGTCCATTGATGTATCGTGATTGCATTTTCTCAACAGATATCTCGCCATTCGGTACCCCTTGCGCTCAAGAGAGACGAGAACACCCCGTAATGCTCTGACCTCAATTAGCCTTGTGTGGGCTCTATCACTGTTCTTCTCCAGTCCTTATCTCAGCTACTACCAGCAGATGGATCTAGACGGGACCACGGTTTGCATCCCGACGTGGAACATCCATCATCGTCGAGTCATGGACGTCTGCACCTTCATATTCGGCTACCTCATCCCAGTCCTCATTCTCGGCATCACGTACGCCCGCACCATTCGCTACCTGTGGACCTCCGTGGACCCCATGCAGGACATGTCGGAATCCCGCAAGGCCAAGCGCAAGGTGACCAAGATGATAATCATTGTGGCTGTGCTCTTCTGTTTATGTTGGTTGCCACATCACCTGGTTATCTTGTGCATGTTGTTCGGCCACTTCCCGCTCAACCACACAACCTACGTCATCCGCATTCTCTCTCACCTGGTGGCGTACACCAACTCCTGCCTGAACCCCATCGTGTACGCCCTGGTGTCTAAGCATTTCCGCAAGGGCTTCAAGAAGGTGTTTGGCTGTGCGTTCCCTAACCGGGTCGCAAACCGGATCCACAACGTGCAGCCGGCACAGACGGTAAGCCTGATGGAAGCTGCCACGTGTGAAGGATCCAATCATAGTGACGGGTCAACCCGGGGTCGTCTCTGGAGCAAAAGTAGCAAGAAGATGATGACAAGTGCCTTCATGACATTTAATGTGACATAATCCACTTACACTCTCACCCGCTGTCAAATCAGTGCTCACCAAAGTATAAAACTCTTCTTTTCCGGTGGCTTTTAACAGCATTTGCGCTGTGATTACATAACAAAAGTTGTCAGGCACAGGTTGTCAGGTAGAGAGGAAGCAGTGCTTTTTGTGTTCTCGATGAGGACAGTGACTGATGTTTAAAATGTAAAATCTCTCGTGTCTGTGTTTTGTCAATGTTGGCAGCTTTCGTCACTGTGCTATGTGTTTTGTGACTGTGACTCATAGTAAGGTTTTCCGGAGGTACGAATAGATTCAATTATCAGAGAAAAGTACCGGCATCAATTTGTTTGGTTCAAACGTTCACATGGCAAACTTTTGATCATATTGGAACATATTTTTTTGAATTTATGTCACCTTAATACAGTATTCATCTGCCATTCTCATCTCCTTTTGGGTTATTGCTACACAGGATCTGCTGTATGGGTCAATGATATATAAGAGTGTCTATGATAAATAAAAATGTCTTTGAAAATCTAGTTTAAAGCACATGTGGTCATATGGTTTTGTAAAATATTTGTATTGTTTATATAAACAATATATATATATATATATATATATATATATATATATATATATATATATATATATATATATATATATTGTTTGGAAGCTTCCATATATGGTTGAACCACATGGTTTTGTTGGTATTTAAACTATTTAAATATGAAATATTTCCAAATAAGCAGTTTTGTTCATTTTTAGAACAGAAATAAAAGATTATGCCAAAATGATAAGATTTTTTTTTAATTCCCCCTTTTATTCTTGAGGATATTATTTGAATATCCCAAAAATATAAAAAAAAAAATTTAATTCATAAATTAAAAACATTCTCTTTATTGGAAAGGTATACTACAATTCAAAAGTTTGGGGGTCAGTAAGATTTTGTAATTTTGAAAGAAGTCTCTTATGCTCATCAATTTCTTTAAAAAAAAAAATCTTGCTGACCCCAAACATTTGAACGGTGGTGTTCAAGTAATTCTATGAATGACTTGCATTTTTTGTGTATTTTAAATAAAGTCATTGACCCCTATAGCAAATTTCCTGAAACTGTTTACATTTACAGTCTTTCGTGGACAACAGCTGTAAGAAAAAAGGTTGACTTTGTTTGCAATATTATATGAAATGTCTCGCATACAGTATATCTGTACCACTACCTCTTCTGTGTCTCATGGGTACGTCAAGCATGTTATGAATTTTAAAGATAATGCTTTGAATGTGTATTCTACTTAGGCTCAACCATAAATGCTAGAAAGAATTAACAAGCCGATTAATGAATAAATAAACGATTCGTAACTGAAAATAAGTCTTGGTCTTTGTGATGATTTCTAAGCAACAGTATATAGTATCATCATTCAAGCTGTTATGAAACAGATCTGCACTAGAATATCCACTAATCTTGGTTCTCCCTGGATCTGGCTTTACTGGGAATGTGCCAGTTGGCTGGTTCTAGTGTGTAGCTGCTCCAGGCTCAGCTGTTGCTTAGTGAGTTTGTGGGCAATATGTGCTCTCTGATTTGCTCCATCAGTGGAAAAAGCCCAGCGTTGCAGCCTCATTTAACGACTTTATTTAACCAGATTTGTGGTTATTTTATACTTCCCATGACGCTACTTATATGCTAAAAAGGCAATGAGGGCAAATCTTTCTGAGCACCTCTTCTCTGTAAAGTATCAGCTGCTGCCATTCTGGCAAGTAGTTTGTTGTTTTTAGTAATACTACAAGAAACAGGTCACTGAGTGTGAATATGTTCATTTTAGTGACCTTCATGTCAAAAATCTCTTCATGCACTATGTAATTTTGCAGGAGACTTTGGTGCCAGTGTCTCTCATACTTAAGGTTCTTCTTGAAGAGCCACTTTGCAGTCAAACAGATTGGCACATGCAGAGGACAGCTGTGAAGTGGCAATAACAATCGTGGCTCTCTACTGATGATGATACTGTTCTGCTCTCCATGAGTCCTATTGCAGCCAGTCACCAATTTAGCTCTTCACTAGGAGTCATACATTGATCTGACCTTTTGACACAGAACAGACATGATAGTCATGGAAAATTAAGGCAGTCAGTAAAGAAATGTGTCCCAAAAGAAATCTCTTCCGTTAGATCATAGTTAGACCATGAATATTTTGTTCCTATTTACTCACCTTCAAGCTTCTGTTAGCAAAATAATGCAGTGGGTGGTGATTTATAGAGCCAAGCTACAAGAAAAGCACAATAAATCTGTATGATCCATCCATGATAGCTGTCTCTGAGGAACAGACCAAACTCTTCCCATCTGCCAGAGCTCTTAGATCTCATTTGCATACGTTCAATTAAAAAGGACATATTAGTGCACCAGGTTTGTCGATAAAAAACAAAACACTCAGTATTAATATATATATTTTTTAGTAATTTTATTTAAATTATTACTAATTTCTATTTTTTCATACAATTTTTGTAAGCTTTTCATCTAATATTGATATTTTATTGATTTATTTCAGTTAATAAAAAATATTTTAATAGCTTCAGTTGAAAATAAGAACACTGCATCTCTGGACGTACAATGATGTAAAGGAGCAATAGGTGATTCACTAGCAATCACTATGTTAAGCTGTCTAAATGTATTTTTATAAAAATATAATCTGTGGAAGGTGTAGGACCATAAAATGTTCGTTCAATCATTGCATTCGTTCCTAATGAAATGATAGCATGTGTTCCCTATCAGTCAACGTGTTTGCATACCACTGCGGAGCCTGTTCACGCAAACATCATGGGCCCTATTTTAACGATCTGAAACGCAAGTATCAAGCGCGAAGCGCAAGTAGCTTTGTGGGTGGGTCTTGGGCGCTGTTGCTATTTTACCGGCGGGATAAATGACTCTTGCGCCCGACGCAAGTTTAAAAGGGGTTGGTCTGAAATAGCTTCATTATTCATAGGTGTGGTTTGGGCATAACGTGAAATAAACCAATCAGAGCGTCATCCAACATACCCTTTAAGAGCAGGTGCGCATGTTGCATGGCGGATTGTTATTATTATGGCGGATTTACCAGGCGCGCGCCAGGAGCGGTTCACAGCCGAGGAGACCAACGTTCTTGTCAAGGCAGTGAAAGACAGAGAAGTGACATTGTATGGGGATGGGAGATTTTTTTTTTCCTGGTTCTTGACGGACAAACTAATTTGTCAGATGTCCATATATACATATGTGTCTTGCCACTATTGGGCAAACAGGTCTGATCCGTCATTACTACAATTAGCCTGAAAAATTTGGGTAAATGTGTAAGCTAGATTTAGGCCTACATTTATTTACATCTTCATGGACACCACAATGATTTCCCTCATGTGTTAATATTTTTCCTTGTTATAATGTATGATTTGCAAAAATAAAAACTGCTGCATCTGTGTTGATGAGAGAATCAAAGTGTATGTGCGTTGTGCACCCGCTACATTATGGCCAAGCATGCGCGCTTAAAATAGCATTATGAACAATGCGCAACGCGCCACTGACTTTAGACTAGGTTTTTTCTGGTCAGTGGCGGAATTGTTTTCTGGAACTGCAAAATAGCATGAGGGAAAGTTTGCGCCGAAACACGCCTCCTTTTTGCGCCGACCTGCCCAGGAAGCGCAAGTTCATTTCCTAGTTTACCGATGTGCGTCTGTGGAGGGAAAAGCCCGCTTTGCGCGGGTGCAAAATAGGAATGATACATGCGTCAGTGTACAAAGTCATTTGCGCCGGGTGCAAGATAGGGCCCAAAATGTCATACTGTAGCGTACAGACAGAGCGAGAATGGCAGGCAAACAGATGTTTACGTCCGTAAGTGTAGTAGTGTTACTCACTGTACTGTTACGTTTTCTCACCGATAAATGACACATGATGTAATCCAATAAAGTTGTCTCTGACTGTCTCGCTTCTGGTCTGCGCTTGGAAGCGCATGTGTTTTGGAGGAAGCGTGGCTTTGGACGGCGATTTGCAGGGAGGGTGGGTTCTTATGCTTTCAATGCTAGCAGGCTAAAGTTAGCATTTCCCAGATCACCTATTGCACATTTAAGTCATACACTGAAAAAATTGGTGTATAAACAATTTTCACTTAAAAATGCTTGATTGAACAAATGAATACAAAGAGATGGCAAGTAACATATTGAATTGAATTAAAAAAATGTAAAGACTGAAATAGTATATTTTCTTGTAAAACGTACTCCAATAATCTTGCTTTTATTTATTAAATCAGCTTTTGCATTAAAAACATTCCTAAAATAAAACCAGCATGTGAAGTATTCAAGTTGAATCTCTTGACTATAGTTCTTTTGCTCAATGGTACTTTCTGACAGTTAGTTGGCCTCTTCTAGTTTGTTCTTGTGTGTCATGTTCACAGTACCAACTCCAACACATTTTTAATGGCTTTCTCCTGAAAATACAATGTAGTCAAGTCAAAGTTCACCAATTAAGCGCCGCTCTTCTGCCTCGCCTCTCAGGGGCATGAGATAACTTAACTGATGTTGATATATGAAGGTACAGATTGTTGTGTTCAGTCTGAGGCTGTGTCCGAAAGCGCATTCACTCTTGAGTAGATACTTATTTTGAACAATTGGTTACATCACGACCGTTTAAAAAGTATGTTCTATGTTTGTGTTGTATAAACGTAATCTGGACGTACTACATTCGCCATGAGACCTTTTTGTCTACCCTTTTATGAGTATTGTGAATTCAGACGGCCAAAACGCATTAGAGTTTGTTTAACTTAGACGGCCTATGTTTCCATCTAAGGTTGTTTTGTCACATACTATTTTTCGCCTACTATAAGGGGCTGTTCACACGACACCGTTTTTCACCTAAACATTTTTAAATTTTTATGCGTTTTGGCCGTTCATTTACACGACAACGGCGTTTTGGGTGCCCGAAAATGCAAACTTTTGAAAACGAGTTTCAAAGTGCAAGTTTTTGAAAACGGTCTCCTTGACCTTGTAAACAACAAAAAACTTGAATCTCTGAAGACGATGACGTCATGCACGTTCGTATTACGCGTTCAGTCTACTGTTTTATCGCTATCTAATGGCTTGGCAGCAGAATAAAGCATTTTTAGTATACTACGCAGATCCGTGTGAATGGGGATCGTTTTGACAATGGGGTCGTCTGTACATGGAAAACTCAAGGGAAAATATCTCAGTTTTAAGCATATATTAAGCATAACACGTTTACATGTTGTCGTGTAAACATACCCTAAGTATGTGATTTCGGTTACCAGTTGCCATGGCTTTTCATTATATGACTAATTAAATATCACCTGTTAGCATTTTAGTTTATTATCTTGTGTTTATAAGCCCTTCAGTTCATTTACTTCTTTGTCTGGTGTTGGTTGTGTTTTAGTACCCACTGTTGCATTGAATACTCTCATTGAAATACTGCTTTTGTTTTTTTAAAGAAAGGGGAAAGAGAAGATCCAGTTTAAATGAAAGCTGCATGTTGATGTTGTCTCAATGGAAGTTGTCAGCAGTAAACAGTGTTCACTAGCTATGTTTCCATCTAAGGTTTTTTTCCATTCATGAACAAAGAAGCACTGTTTGCATCCCATGTGTTCGAGAACAAAATCGTCACTTTCTGGGAAATTGGCGCAAAATGTCTATAATAAAATGGAAGCCACTGTGGTTCTTTTATTATAAAAGACTTGTGTCTCAGAACATGCAGATGCAACGCAATAAACGCTGTCATGCTACCTGTGTCTGTATGCTGGTGTTTGTGAACAATCGTGTGAGACAGTTCTGGGAGGTCATCAAATCATGCTGATTTTCAGAATGATCAAACCAACATTTGAGATGCTGTGCAATGAAATTGGTCTAATGGTTAGTCCAGTTATCCAATCAAATCCACTGTTGAGGCAATTTGCTTCCATCTTAGTTTATACTATAGCTTGTGCAATTTTTATTGCAGTGTTTAAAATGCAATGCTTTATTGATTTACATTCTGAGTTTGTTTTTAAACCTCTAACCCTGTAATTATTAAAGTTGGCATGATTCATTAAACAGAAGTTGCAGAATATTCGTTTTTGGGTGAACTATCTCTTTAAGCACTGCTTAAAGATCCTACAACAGCCTTCATAAGCTCCATCACTTCAGTCACCACACTGAGACGTAACAGGTAGTTGTCGTCCTTTACCGAATGTTTCCAATCAGTCCTAATGGAAGAACTTGTAAGTTAAAGCATGCTCAGTGAATTGAACAGAGATGTTGCCGCACAGCAGACTTGTGCCTCCAGTGAAGTAGGTCCAATTAGGATCTAAGACTTTCTCAATAACAAGAAAAGTAAATGTTAACTGTTGTTAAACAAAGGCCCAACATCACACTAAAGAAACTCCCAATGCATATTGTACTGATTTAAATGAAAGAAAGAAAGAAAGAACATTAATTAGAGTTATTTACAACACTAAATAAATTAATTCCAAGCAAGCTGCTTTTTTTTTAAATTATGCAGAAATTAAGAAAATAATATTTAATTTAGTGTATTTAGCCAAGGCAGGAGCTGTATATTTGTATATGATATTTAAAATATAAAATTTCCAAGCACAATAGGCTAAAAGAGCTAAAGTTGAGACCAGATGTGATGGATATATGTGCATGGCTACAGGGAAAAAAATATCTGTGAGGATATTGTAAGACAAATAGCCTAAAATAAACAACTGAGAGTGTAAAAATCTATGTTTTAGTTATAATAATAGCTATTTTGTTATTATTTGTGGTGAAACAATTTTAAACAAGCTCTTCCACTGTTTGAGTAATGTTTAGAGCCTTTTGGGAACGACTTGAGTAGATTTTATTGAATTAATAGATCATCTTCATCACCACCATATATATCATATGGGTTCATAAAGGGGCGATAAACTGTTTAATGTAAATTTATGACGTGTTACTGTCACCACTGAACGTGCTTCACATTTCCCTCATGAAGCAACCTTGAGGATACAAACCTCTGATGACGGTTATTTGCATTTGCTTGTCAGTGTAAGTGTGGCGGAATATGCGCGTTGACAATAATGCCAGCAAAAGACCCGCTTATCGAAACACTTAAAGGTAGGTTTCATATCCCATATATCATACGCATAGTCAAAGCTGTATCTGACCTTCGATGTGCTGTTTTATGGTTATTGATCAGTTGTTCTGGTCACGCAACAGATGATGAAAGGCTGTCTGAGAGCTGTTAGCAGCGCCTGTTGTTGGGAGATAAATAACAGTTAGATAGCTAGCATACTTGTCTTGTTTTGCGCACTCCGAAACCCCGTTTTGAATTAGTAATATTGAAGTGGCCACACTGGAGAGGATATTTGTATTGCTGCTCAGTGCTCTTTAGGATATAGCTAGTCTGAGTTACTATATTTTCCGAATTTTTTTTGTAAATCTCGGGAGCCAAACGTGGCTTAACATTTGTATACTAAAAAAAAGAGTAGCCTATTAGTCTTTTAAGTATTCACACTGATTAGGAATGCTAACAGGGTGGAAAGTCACCATGATATCAAAATGGACTATTTTATTTAATATTGAGGCATTTGGCCTGATTTATTCGTGCACACATCATCAGCCTATTTTTTAAATGCGTGTGCACTCATAATCTTTAATCAAAACATCTCTTTCTCTGATGACCTGCAAGGGCGGGGACAACCTGTCACTCGAATGAGATTCCCTCCATTTTTTTTCTTGTTCGAGAAGCAGTTTAACTCAGATCTTTTTACAATAGGGAATATTGTCAATATTTAACACATTTCTCTCTGCTAGTCTAAAAATACAACCAAAACACACAAAGCAAAAGCCAGTCTGGAGCAGCGTATATGAGTGCAGCGAACAACAGAAATTTCCTCTCTCCGCTCCAGATCCATCTCGTTTTATCATATTCCTGGCAACCAAGTATGCCAGTGTGTGTTGTTTTGATCTGGTTTAATGATGCAAGGGTTATTCCACGTACCTACATTACATTTTGTGGTTAAAAACAGAAAACTAATCATTAACCATAATCCTCCCTGTTTATTCCAAGTGTGCATTTTGAATTTGAAATCGGAGGGCACTGTGACTGACTCCAACCCACACCTGGCATCCTGCTGTGAGCTCCTGGAACTTATACTGCAAAAGGGACTACAGCGTGAGATCCACACACCAACACACACACTCTCCTGTACACCTGCACATTTTCACCTGTCAGCAAACACAGGGCACAAACTCAAATATGAGCCATTATTACACCTGGCACACATTATGAGAAAATACATACACATTATAGGATGACATTTATTGCTGTTTACAGATAACAAGGATGTGTCTATTGACAATATAGCCTACTTTAGAAATTTGGACACACTTAACTTAATTTATGTTTCCCATGACGTTATAACCTGAATGTTTAAGCTTAAATGCTTCAAAGTAGTTGTACACAATAAACTGTACACATAAATTGTCTACATATGCATTTCTTTACAAAATATAGAACAAAGATAGTGAAAGGAAAAGCAGCCAGCAAGTGCATGCAAAAACATTCCAAGCTAATTTTAATTATATAGTTATTAGTAGCAGTTTGTCTCTTAGATAAAAAAATAAAATAAATACAAGCAAATAAAAGTGCATGTAAAAAACAGTATTATTATATAATGAAATGAATGCTGCATGTCATTCATGTTTTTAGAGCCTGTTCTCAGCTTAGCACATAGAGATTACTGGCATTGTTTCGAACAGCTTCTACAGCACGACACATGTGGCAGGTGAGTCTTTATGCACTCATTGCTTCTCATTTTTAGCATAATTTACTATAGGGTGAAAGAAAATTTGGGATTCAAGGTCTAATTAAAGGCAGGGCAGGCGATCCGGGATCCAGAAATGTTTTAAAAAAATGTTTTTATGCTGGTTGAAAGTCTCTTCACATCCTGATAGCAATCACTAAGTTAAGTGGTCTAAATGTATTTATATATCGTCTGTGGAAGGCATATGACCATAAAATGTTTGTCCAATCATTGTATTCGGCCCGAATGCTTCAATAGCAACACTATCAACTCAGAAATGAATCTGCAGCAGTCAGATAGTACAGGTCAGTGCTCATAAGATTGTTTATGTTGATTATTATTGTAATGTTATGTGCTTTGAGACATGAGGTAGTTAAACGCGTCTCTCGTCACGCTTTCCCCTGCTGTACGAGTTCATGTGTTTTGGGGGAGGCGTGCTTTTGGAGAGCAATCTGAAGGGAGGGTGGGATCTTATGCTTTGAAAGCTGATAGCATCTCCGAAAATTTCCTACCCTACCTTTAAATCCAGGACATAAACAGTAATGTAGGATTTTGAAACATTTAAAATGATAAAACATTATGGAGCAATATAAATAAAAGAGGTAGTTTTTGTCTTTTCTAAATTGTTATTCTAATAATTGCAATAACAATATATATTACATCATGATGCTTCTATTTTAAAAATAACAGATTATGATTAATCACAACCACAATTTTTCTGAAAATAGTGCATCTTAATGATCAGAATGTTCTGTCTGCCCATGAAGGTTGAGTTCAGTCTCTTTGGCAGTGCAACAGACCACAGCCTGCAGCAAACTCATTACATCTCAAGGCCGAGGACGCTTCTTCATACGGCTCATGCTGATGAGGAGAACCCTGGGAAATGTAGTAAAACACCTGCTGCACACAAACAGAGTAATCGAGGTTAGTAGACACTCACAGAGTGATGACTGAATCTCGTATTTTTACAGAATAATCAACATCATTTACTTTCTTTGCAGTGGTATTGCGCCAACTTTTCTATTCTTAGAAATGAGGAGTTTGTAGGTGAGTTTTTGGTTTCACAAACCATCCAACTTTAGCCGTTGTGTTGTTTTGTTTTGTTGTTGCTGTAAATAGTATCCCAACTGTTTCCAAACAGAACCGTTTCTTTCGCTGTCTATGGTGTTGTCAGAAATTAACTTTAAGATCAGTATTGAGGTATGAACCACTAAGCCTGTGTATTCACTATTATTATATAATATAATATATATATATATACAATGTGCTGAGATTGAGATTTGTTGCTGTAATTTGTTGTTTTTTCTGGGAACTTCCTCTCTGTGACTTTAATCTCAGAACTGCAGTTTCCTGGATGAAAGCTGGCTGCTCCCGGTACAATCTTAATATTCTGACATGCTTTGTTTGCCTGTATGTGCATGAAGAGGTAATGTTGAACTGCATGTTGCAAACCTTGCTTGTGTTTTAGGTGTGTCAAATCTATGAAGCTGTTCCCTGTCGGGAGCTGGGAATGGTGCTCAGGTTAGCATGTCGGCATGTCTTTTCAATTCTGAATGCTGCATTTGTTCGTAATTTTAGTGCAAATCATTTTTGTTCACATTCTGATCCCCCCTTTTGCTGTCTGTGTTAAAGAAAGTTGTGCGCAAATACACAGTGCAAGTTTTTGATTGTCTAGATGATTGAACAGCAAATATTCCTAGTTAGTATTCCTATTCATATCCCATTTTCTTTCTAAAGGTACCTAGATGGACGTGTGTTTGTGCTGGACCTGCTTCAGGGTAGTCAAGCTCAGGCGGATATGTTTGCCGAGCCTGGTGACATCATTGATGAAATCAATGGGATATCACTGAGGAATGCTAGTAATGGGCAGGTCAGAATAAATCGTACCCATAAAATGTGTCCCTACATGACCTAACATTCCAAAATAAATATATATTAGATTGCTTCTACAGACAGCCTGATATATGTGTACTCTGTTCTCTGCTTTGCCTGAATTGATTTAATAATCATGATAAGCTTCTGTGTTTCCATTGTGTTTGCTTATTCTAATACTCGTTCTTCACAAGATGTGGCTCCTGTCACATCGCTTTAAAGGAAAAGTTCATTGAAAAATGAAAATTTTGTCATCATTTACTTGTTTCCAACCACATATTATTTTCTTTCTTCTGGGAAACACTAAAAGAGATGTTAGGTACAATGTTCAAGCTGCTTGTTTCCACGAAGTGGATGATAATGCATAAATGTAAATGATAATATTAACTGCACATGATTAAAGTACCATTAAAGTTATTCAAATGATTCATATCATTTACACGCTATATTTCAAGACCCTATAATAAGTGTTAGTTCACCAATTTTTTTTTTATTCTGTCATCAATTACTCACTCTCATGTCATTCCATCTAAACCCATAAGACTTTCGTTCATCTTTGTAAAACAAATATAAATATATATTCAAGGAAATCTGAGATTTCTGTGCTTCCATTGAAAGTCTGCTCACCCAAAACTCTGACGGTTCAAAACGTTCATAAAGAGATTGTAAAATAGATTTGATGATCTCTTTATGAATGTTTTATAATGTTTTGGGTGACTTGACTGAGACATTAAAAAAATTAATTAAAAATATCTTCATTTGTGTCCTGAAGATGAGCGAAAGTCTTATGGGTTTGAAACAACATGAGAGTAAATAATTGATGACAGTATTTTCATTTTCACAACTAATGTGACAAACAGACCAAAATTAAAGTTGTGTAGTGCTCAAATCTGATTTGCACCAGCATTTTAAAGTTGACATGAAATGAAAATTCACCCTATTTTCCAAATACTTGTTATTGATCTTATTGTGAACATATATGTGTGTTTCATTTGTAAAAAAAAAAAAAAGAAACGAAAAAAAAAGTTGACTTTGTAATTTTAATTCAAATATCATAACTCGATCTTCCAGTGAAACAACATACTTCTCCCTGGTGATTTATGCCAGTTTAGTCGACCGCAAGGTCCAATCGACAACTGATGCATAGAACAAGTCGATAATTGATAATCCGATAATCACTCAGATGTACATCACAATACAGTGTAGTATAAAAGATCTGTCACTACTTCCGTTACATCGCGACTTTAAAATTGTCTCTGCAAATATGAACAAAAAAAAAGATCAACAAAGGTACTGTAAAGACCAATATCTGACTGACAGGCCACGAACAAAAAAAAAGATCAACAAAGGTACTGTAAAGACCAATATCTGACTGACAGGCCACACACTTTTCCCCCTCCAAAGGCAGGTGTGGTTTTGTCAAAGCTGAAGAGTCAGCCACTTTCCATTCACTTTATACGTTGGAGAGGAGAAGATGGGTCCATCTATCAGCCGCTGGTCAAACACTTACGGAAACTCAAACAGGAAAAACCCTCGCTTCGGTTTGGTCCAAAACCCGCCTCTCAGCAGGACAGAACTGCGGGCCAGAAGAGAGGGCAGACGCAGTGTGTGAAAGACGGCAGGTACTCTCAATAAAGACTTCACGCATGTTTGCAATTGTATTAGTCACAAATACCATAAACAGTCTGGCCTGTTTGATCGTGTTTCATTAACAGGATCCTGTACGCTGTACACCTCTTAGGAAAAGCAAACATAGGAATGGTACAGTAGTTGTGTAAACATCTCTCTTTATGGTGCTCTTGCTTCGCTTAAATCCATGCATGTGTATTATTTGAGTCAATATGTGATCCGAAATAGTGTGATTATTGAATATCAATGTTATTTGTGTTGAATCTTAAGTGTGGAGGTAAGGATGTTCTGCAGCATGCCATTCCTGAGGTTCTGGAGAGCAAACAGGCAAGAAAGGTACATCTACAATTAATCAAGTGAGTTTTATGTAAAGAGATATATGTAAGCTAGTTGTGACATCTGTATGATTTTTCATGCATTCTTTCTGATTTTGTCATACAGGAAGTACTGCTGGATGTAAAGGAGACTCATCTTACCTGCATAGAGAAGTCCAATAAGCAGGTTTGTATTATTCAGTGTTATATATGTATAACCATGTAAGATATATAATTTTAAGCCGAAGTCTCTCCTTTTGATTAGGAGCTGTTTCAACACCACTTCCCTGAGATATCATGTGTTGGGAGGTTTGGAAGCCAACCTGATTTAACCATTTTTGCTTTCTGTTTATTGTAAGTATACTTTGAGAAACTGTTGTATAATTGATGTCTATTCATATATAAGTAATTCAAATTAGATGAATGGCATGCTGTTTTATGTCAAGCTTTCTTTCTGGAAATATCAAATGTTTCTTTTTTTAAAGTCGGGCTTTCAGCATTTGATAGGGTGTTGGAATTTGAATAAATGCCAGGCGGATTATGAGTTTACGGTATTAGATTACCGTTTATCTGCATTCCATTTTCTTATCAGTGACATTTCCTTCCAGGCTTTGTGTTTTTGAACTTGGATTTTCTTGGACATTCAGTACTAAACATTTAATTGGTTTCAGGGATTCACCACAGGCAGGAAAACCAACAGGCTTCTGTTGTGTGGTCCTGCAGGCTGCCACAAGTAGTGAGTGTGAAGAGATTGTTAACCGTATAGGTGAGTTTGAAACCACCTTAATTCATAGTGTTAAAGTAATAAAAGGATTCTTATTTCAAATGTCAATCACTTTAGAAGTAATTTGTATATTTTTCCCCCCCCACAGCTGCTGGGTTTAAACATACAGAATGGTTTGTATGAAAAACCCAGAATTTAAGTGGACTGGACATCTTTTGTAGTTTCCATCATGTGTTTTTTAACACTATGTATTGTCATATATTCTAATGTATCATAACAATATAGTTTATTGTTTGTATTAGTATATATGATAGATAAAACCTTATTGTAATACCTTATATTTGTGCTATGTTGTTTTGATAGAAATACATGAAACACTGAGTCAGTCAGATTTCATGCCTTTATTACTTTGTCACTGTTATATAATACACAACTATTTTAAAACTCTTTAAAAACAACAGGAAATTTAAATAACCACTAAATTAAATGCACACATAGGGGTCCAAGAATATTGAAAATATGTATATACATTTAAACCTGGAAATAAACAAGGTTGTAGGATTTTTTAAAAGTAAAACAGACTAATTAAATGTGTCATACAATTAATAAGGAATTAAAATTCTATATTCTTTCAAGTTCTCTAATCAAATAAGCAAATGTATGTCACTGAACATGTAAACTCGATATATTTTTTAAAAAGATACTATTTTTGCTTCCATCGAGGCAGAAGATGTTTTTAAGAATATTTTAAGTGTAAAAATAAAAAGCAAACATCCTCAATTTGTCATGCAGTATTTTTTTATGAAGAAATCAATATCACGTTTGGTGGCCTTTATCTGCGACTTTGAATTTGAAGCACATCTCGTTCTTGGTTTGGGGATTTACCTCTGTTCATTATTTCTGACTTCACTCTCCAACGACCAAGAACGAATCGTTCTTTTGACTCGATTCCTTTCAATGAATCAGTTGAGCCGATTCACACAATAGGTCTGAACCATTCCTGTACGCATCGAACTGAACAGTCCTAGTGGTGCTTGAATCAAACTGTTCGAAAGAATCGATTCTCGCGCTACTATAACGTCATCACAATGGCCCGGAATTTCCTCTTCGCCAGATCTGGCGCATGCGCACATCGAAAAAGAATGCGGACTTCGCAGCTCTCCCAATATTAAACTGTTTGATGGCCATAATTCGATAAATCATGTCGAAAGCACCATCTCAGCCCGGTTCTTCGGGTGCCGCTGCCAACCTGGGACCTTCATCGTCCTCCTCCTGCTCCTCACCCTCGGCAGGTGGCACGACGTCCCCCGCTAACGTGCTGCACGCACAGCCCGAGAAACCCCAGCACTACACGTACGTAACGAAACACCTTTACACCCACCTGATTACACATGCAAATCACATATTTCATGCACCACTAATTTTACACGCCTCTGATGCGTATTTGTGGGCTCTGGTGATGAGCTGGATCAAGAGTTGTGTTCTGTGGAGGCCTGGTAGTGTGATATTATGCATGCATGCATTGTATCGGGATGATGTTTTGAAGGATACACTTGAATGATACAAGAGGTCTGGTGATTTGTAAACACAATAAAGGCAAGCTATACAATGCTTAGTCTGATATGTTATGGATAGTGAAATTGTGGTTTAAGTTACGTCCAATATTTTGATCTCTGCTTCATTTAACTGATAATGAAGCACCACACAAATAGGTTCCCACATTTTATGACCAATGAATTTGCCTGATTTTGTCGTACACTTTCTAGTCATTTACTACTGCAAAATTATCAATGAAAATTGAACAAAGAGCAAAATTTAGTTGGTTAAGCTTTTTATCGCAGAACACAACCAAAACATTTATATCACTATAGACTTTTCAAAGACATTTTAAGATTTTATTAATCAAGGCTTTAACCACAATTGACATGGACAGTATTCAAGCATAACCAGATAGATACTATAGAAATCCCTATAGCGATTTATATGACATTGCCATGTTATTTTAACATTTTTTTGGACTTTTCCAGTTGTTCATGATTGATTACTGGGTAAGGTTTTTAAATTGAGGAGATATTGCACCTAAGCATAACTAGACACACACATACATACACTGCCCGGTCAAAAAAAGTAACTGTTTGGATTTAAATAGGCAAATGCTTAAGAGTCTATGATTGGATTATTATTGTAGTGATCATTATGTTTTTAGCATGTTATATGTTTGGCAACAGTTCCTCTAACCCTAATTGACGGAGTGTGTAGCTTTTAATTTCTTAAACAACCATGCAGAAAGACACATCATGATTCATCAGGCTCAAATTGTGAAAGAATGGTTGGGAGGAACATGAAGAATCATTTTCACACATGAATTGGCACCTCTGAGTCCAGACCTTGGGATGTGCTGGAGTGCTCGACTCTTGCTATGTCAAGATCTTAACCAAAAATGTATGCACTTCCTGATGGAAATAACATCACAACATTTATGCTCCCTCCCAAGCATTCTTTCACAAAGCTACACACTCCATCGATTAGTTAAGAACTGTTGCCAAACACATAACATAAACACAATAATCACTGCAATAATGATCCTGTCATAGACTGGCAGTTGCCTATTTAAATCCTTTGTTTTTGGCTGGGTAGTGTGTGTATATATACTGTATATATCACAATTACAAAATTCAAAATTTTCTATGACTGTGCAATGCCTGAAACAGGCCAAATTTGGCAACAAATTTCCAACTTGTTCATGTCTAGGTACGTTGTCATGCAGTGTTTTGTCAGTTCAGGTTGTAGCTACACCCCTTTAATCCGTCCTTGCGCTTTATCTTCCTTAATTTTTCATATTCTACTTCTTTCCCCTCTTTCTCTGTTTAAGGTATCTGAAGGAGTTTAGGACGGAGCAGTGTCCCCTATTCGTACAGCACAAGTGCACTCAGCACCGGCCCTTCACCTGCTTCCACTGGCACTTCCTGAACCAGAGACGGCGGAGGCCGATTCGCAGACGAGATGGAACTTTTAATTACAGCCCTGATGTGTACTGCGTTAAATACGACGAGGGCGCAGGGAATTGTCCTGATGGAGATGAGTAAGAACCAGCAGATACTCAGTTTTTTAAGCCACAGTGTCTGAATTTATGTTGATATCTGTCTTTAATTTACTTATTTATTTCCAGGTGTCCGTTTTTGCACCGAACAGCCGGAGACACAGAGAGGCGGTATCACCTGCGGTACTATAAGACTGGCTCCTGCATCCACGAGACCGATGGGAAGGGCCACTGCAGTAAGAACGGCCCTCACTGTGCCTTTGCTCACGGCTCCCATGACCTGCGTAGCCCTGTCTATGACATCAGGTAGGGACCAGGGAGTTGACTTTTAAAGCAATAGTTCATCTGAATATGAAAATTGTCAACATTTATTCATCGTATCGTTCCAGAACCTATATTCGTTCTCTTCTGTGACACACAAAAAGTTGTTATTTTTAATTGAAGTCATTTATTGTATTGCATCCACATTTATTATTATGATTCACTACCATGTACTTTGGCATTGATAAGATTTTATTCACATTTTTGAAAAGTCTGTTATGCTCACCATGGCTGTGTTTATTTGATCAAAAATACAGCAAAAACAGTATTATTGTGAAATATTATTACAAGCTAAAGTCATTTTAATTTTTAAAATTTTAAATATATTTCTTTTTAATGTTATTTATTCCTTTGATGACAAATCTAAATTTTCAGCGTCATTACTCCAGTCTTCAGTGTCACATGATCCTTCAGAAATCATTCGGATATGGTGCTTAAGAAACATTTATTTTTATGTTGAAAACATTTGTGCTGCTTAATATTTATTGTGGAAACTGTGATACTGTTTTTCAGGATTTTTTTATTCTTTGTTTGATTAGAAAGTTCAAAAGAACAGCATTCATTTGACATAGAAATCTTTTAACATAATTCTTATCTTTACTGTTATTTTTTCTACTGTCACTTTTGATCAATTTAATGCATCCTTGTTGAATAAAAGTATAAAAAAAAAATTAATCGTACTGAACCCAAACTTTTCATTGTGGATATTTATCTTAGTTTGACATTTAAATTTTTAATTTCGTGTTCAGAGAGGTTCAGGTATTAGAAGCCCAAGCTGCAACTGGATTGGTTGAGGGAACATCTGGAGAAGGGCAGTCAGGAGTTGTGGCCAGCACTGCACTCATAGAAAAGACCCTGAGTGAAGATCCACGCTGGCAAGGTGAAATCAGCCTCTATACATACATGCATACACGCACTCGACTTGAATATGAACTAAAATGTCACTTTACATTTGTGTCATTCTTCATGTCGTTCTTTGCCCATTTCTCTTCATGCAGACAACAGTTTTGTGCTCTCCCACTACAAAACTGAGCTTTGCAAGAAACCTCCTCGGCTGTGCCGTCAGGGCTATGCATGTCCCTACTATCACAACAGCAAAGACCGCAGACGGAGCCCTCATAAGCACAAATACAGGTCTGAACAACAAGAAAACCTAAAGAGATAGTTCACCTCACAAAAAACTGGCAGTATTTACTCACGGTCATGTTATTCCAAACAAGTACACCGTTATTTTTTCTGGGGACACAAACTAAGAATCTTTATCTAGATCATTTCCATACAACATCAGTTCAGGGTGATGGCAAAAGGACAAAAATGCTCTATTTTATATTCCATGTGTTCTAAAGTGATAGCTTTTCATGAAGAAAATACCTAAATTTAAGCTGCTATTCACTAATATTCACCAAACCTTTAGGTTTGGTTTAACTTTAAGAAACTTTGACAGAAATATGTTACTATTATATAATTAAATGATGAAATTAATTAAATGATGATTTATTATTATTATTCAAAGCAATGTCATTCAACCAAGATTTTTTTTTTTAATTCATGTTTTAATTTACACAGTGTACAAGTTATGTTGTACAGCACCTTATTTGACAGATTGTTTTTTTTTTTAAATAGATTTATAAATTGAAGGAAACATTTATTAAATTGAAGTAAAAATGTATTTATAAAAATAAAGTGTTATGAATTAATTTTATTAGACACCATTTATAAATGATTATAAATGTATTTATTTTATTGGTTTGCATTTTTTAATTTCCGAAATCATTTAAATTCAGTCATGAAATTAATTTGTATATATATATATATATATATATATATATATATATATATATATATATATATATATATATATATATATATATATATATATATAAAAAAAACGGTTTTGGTTTTCAGCCAAGTGCATCCTGGATTTTCAGTTTGAGTTTCGGTTTTAGTTTTTGGGTGAATTATTCTAGATTCCCAAACTTTTTGGTCAGCAGAACTCTTTTACCCTGAAATATTTACTTGGAATAACTTTTAAGTTAATATTTATGTAATTTAACAACACATGTTCACGGTTCTCTGATGTTAGTTCACTGTTGCATGACATGTAACAAGCTATTATTTTAATTTTAAAATGATTCTGAACTATTCGTTTAAAAAGTATTGACAAATCAGATAGCTATGTGTGCAATCCCATTTGAATTAACTTAATTTCCTGCTCTGTCGGATGGTGGCAGACATCCTTCATGCTAATAATGTTTGTTTGTTCTTGAAGAGCCCTGCCGTGTCCCTCAGTGAAGCACAGTGACGAGTGGGGAGACCCCAGTAAGTGTGAGAGCGGAGAAAGCTGCCAGTACTGCCACACGCGGACAGAACAGCAGTTCCACCCGGAGGTATTTCACACTCAACCTAATGGAGCTGAACTCTGTTTAACATCAACATTTACAGCAAGAACAAGGACATTTATGAACCTGATCTAATCAAACTGTGCCTATTTGATTATGCTGTGCTTGTGATGCTCGTTAAGGTTGCTATTTTGTTTGGCCCTTTGGCTTAAGTGGCTCTTTTTTAGGTTATTGATTAGTTGTGTTACTATAGCTCTATAGCTTTTCTAATTCATAAGACATACGATTTTAGACCCTGGAGAATGACAAAACGGGCAGAAAAAAGCAAGAAATAATTATAATTTACGGAGTTCTACACATGACATGCCGGAAAAATATATATTGTGGCCACGAATTAAGAATTCGTTCCCACAACATACTAATACATCTGCAGACCAGACTGGCCACAATTGAAATAAAACGAGGGAACAAATTAGTAAATCATGGCCACGTCTTACTAAAATAAATGAGAGAACTAATTTTTTATTTGTGGCCACGATATATATTTTTGTCCACATGTCATGTGTGGGGCTCTGTAATAGCTAATATAAAACTGATTTACTGGATATTTAAAAAATATTTTTAATCACAATTTCTACCCGATTAAATATTTTAGAGCTTGGCACATACACAATGATTATTCTGTATAAAAGTGCCTATGGCGTTTTAAACCGTTGTTAAGGGGGTAAATTAAATATGAAGAATCTTGATTTTTAGTTGTTTTAATGTATTTTAATGCTTGTTTTATCTTATTTAAAATTATTTTAAGTTATCTTGAAGCCTCTTTGGATGCTTGCTGAGGCGCCCTTGTTGAGAACCATAGTTATACTCTATTGTAGAGAAGAAACCAAACCACCCTAGCAACCGCATAGCAACACCCCAATATTTTTTGGTTCTTTTTAAATAAGCAAGCACCACTAGCATTTTCTTATTTTCCTAATAATTAATGTTTTCTTCCACAGATCTACAAATCCACCAAATGCAATGACATTCAGCAGAGTGGCAACTGTCCCAGAGGGCCGTTCTGCGCTTTTGCTCATTTAGAAAGTAAGGTTACATTTTGGAAAGTTATGTGATGACACTATTAACACTATACATTGTATTGGATGTTTTATATCTGTTGTAAATGTGAATGATGGTGTGAAATATTTCATTTAGTTGTATATCATGATCGTGTTGTTTCCGTTTTGCTTCTCAGAAGTAAGTGTCAGTGATGAGCAGCTGGCCGCACAATGCAGTTCACCTCTTGCAACTTCCTGCCCCAATACCTTTGAAGACTTCTGCCAGAGTGGCCCGAGTGCCACCACAGAGGAAGGGCTGCTGGGAAGGGTTCTGTTTGAGGAGTCCTCCAGTCTTGATGCCTGTCTAGGAGGAGAGGGGGGTTATGGGAAAGCCCCTGGGTTTGAGAGGGAAGACCAGGTAAAGCAATAACACTTTCTTAATTCTTTTATTTGAAGGCCTCAGTTTGAAGGCATCGGCATTCTTGGCACAAACACTGTCATGGAAATGTTTTTTCAGGCCAGGATAAGTCATAAAATGAGTCATCCCAAACTATACAAAGTACATTTTTTGCTCTGCTCTATAATATTTAATTGGCTATAAATCCAAAATCGCTACTGTTAAAAAAAATTGGGTTAGTAAGATTGTTTATAATTTTGAAACAACTCACCAAGGCTGCATTTATTTGATCAAAAATACAGTAAAAACTGTAACATTGTGAAATATTATTAGAATTTAAGATTTTAAAACATAATTTATTCCTGTGATTGAAAAGCTGAATTTTCAGCATCATTGCTCCAGTCTTCAGTGTCACATGATCCTTCAGAAATCATTCTAATATGCTGATTTTCTGCTCAAGAAACATTTCTTCTTATCAATGTTGAAAACAATGTGGAAACTGAGAAGTCAGTCTTGGTAAAGTTGGTGACATTTGAGTGAATTCCAAGGATTGATACTTCACATACAAATTGAAATATTGAAATAAGTTGTTTTATTTGAACAATTTTCATATCTTTCATATAGGCCAAATATAGAAGTTTTTCAATGGAACATCGCAGCAGAGACATTTCCTCCATGCACAGCAAACAGGTATTAGTCGCATTGATTCAAAACAGACACAAATGAATGAAAACTACAAATAGGCCTGGCACCTTTTGTATCATTCCATGTGTTGTCTTCAGGATTTGTTGGTGTTTCTGCCTGTCGGCAGTCCTCTCAGTATGTCCTCGAGCGTACCTTCCAGCCTGGCAGCCACCCCACCCAGCCCTGCACCCCCCGGCCTCTCTTCAGGCATGAACGCCAACGCTCTTCCTTTCTACCCTACAAGTGACACAGTTGAGTCTGTAGTGGGTAAGTGATTGGTCAGGGTGATAGTACACCCTAAAATTTAATTAAATGATGTTACTAAATATATTAGGTACACTATGTAACTTTTGCCCCTTTTAGCATTTAAAAATAAAAACGAAACCATACATTTTGCAGGAGAAAATTTCTTTGGTTGTGCTTCGGCTCTGCATGACTGTGCAGAGGAATATAGTTCTTTCTCATGACTAAAAAAAAAGTGGGTGAGAGATTATCCTACTGCTCACAAAACATTCACTACTAGACTTAAGAGATATAACCATTTTAGATGGAAAGGATCTCAATCTGACTAGCTGAAGATGTTACAGTAGCTTTACTCATTAATAGACACGGTACTTCCTTGAAAATAAATTCCAATACAGCGCTACAACAAGCATAACGTAATGACCCTTCACATTAGATAATGTTTTACAATGAACTCTGTTAGAGAGCTACATATGGCAATTTATCTGTTCAATAAAATACATAACTCACCTGTTGAGTACTAACAACGCCATCTCCGCTTCACCTTTACAACATTTCAAATCCCTTAGTTCTCACCATCTCCGAAAAACCAAGCCAATGTTGATTCTTGTTTTATTACGAGCTCTGGCACATCCTCTTTTTTGCCAGCAGACTCTCCTCTGTTTGGCGTTTGTTAAAAAATGGGTGATTCCTCAGAAGTTGGAGATTTAGCTGCTCCATGTCAAACTTTCTCGCTCATTGTGACACACAATACATACGAATGCATTTAAATATACCTTGAGCTTTACTATTGAGTAGAATGAATTATGAATGTTCTGTATGTTTAAAACAACATATATTTCTCCTCTTCACTAGAATCTGCCCTGGATGATCTGGACCTGAATGACTTTGGAGTCTCAGCTCTTGAGAAAAGTCTGGAGAGTTCGGCTCTACCCAGCATGGGCCTCATGTTAGGTTGGTGACGACTTTACAGTTTTATCAAAAAAAGATGATAGGATAGCGTTGCTGCTGCAGACTGTAGTGTCATAACCTCCGAAATTCAGCTTTGACATCCATCTTCAATTGTGTTATTGTTTTCCCACAGGAGGCAGTCAGTTACAGAGTTCAGCACCTGTCAACATCCCTGGCTCCCTAAGTAGCCCATCGTCTTTCAGATCACCCTCACCTTCTCCACCAATCAGAGCTCACCATTCGCCATTCCTCTCAACCCAGTTGTCACAGCCCAACCAATCAGAGAGCAGCTTTTTGGGGACCTCCCATGGTTCTTTAGGTTTGTGTTATTTTTTTATGGCAGCTGACTGGGTTAATGATGTGTTAAAGGGATAGTTCACCCAAAAATGAAAATTAGCCCATGATTTACTCACACTGAAGCCATCCTAGGTGTATATGACATTCTTCTTTCAGACGAATACAATCGGAGTTATATTAAAAAATGTCCTGGCTCTTCCAAGGGAGTGAAGGGGCACCATTTTTTTCTGAAGTCCATTCAAGTGCATCTATCCATCATAAAAGTGTCCCAAACGGCTCAGAGGGGTTAATAAAGTTAACTTAAAGTTAACCTTCTGAAGCGAAGCCATGCGTTCTTGTAAGAAAAATGTCCATATTTAAAACTTTATCGACTAAAATAACTAGCTTCGGCCGTACGCAAGTCGACTTACGCCAAAAGAGTCACATTTGACGATGTATGACTTGGGATGTAGGAGTAGTGTATTGTTTGACGGTTCAAACAAAAGGCTGGGCAACCATGTTCGTCATTACGTTGTGCGGCAAGTTCAAGGGTTACTCTTTTGCCGTAAATAGATGCGTACGGCCGTCTGCCGGAAGCTAATAATTTTAGTTGATAAAATTTTAAATATGGACATTTTTCTTACACCAATGCATGGCTTCGCTTCAGAAGGACTTTCATCTTAAACTCTTATTAAGCAGTATCTGCTTTTTTGCAAGGCTCCTGCTTGATAACGAGTTTAGACCTCTTGTGAAATAACTAGGTCAATATTCGTGTTTACAGCGTATATAGCGGTCACATGTAGCATTACATTTAATTATCAGTTGTCTTTTTAAAACAAAGCAGTTTTGTTTTGTTGTAATGAACTGGATAGACAATGCAGTGGATCCAGTCTAACATGATTTTGTTTTGTTTTTGTAGGTTTAAATGGCATGAACAGCAGTATTTGGGAACATTTTCCGACAGGCCAAAGCTCGCCGGGTACCCCCCCTGCCCTGCTCTCCACGGGGAGCATGTATGCCGAGGCGTCACGTCTCAAACAGGAAGTGGAGGATGCACACAGGGTGCTGAAACACTGGGACCACAGCTGGAGACAGATGGCCCAGGTCAGACTCCATCTCTGTGTGTGTGTGTGTGTGTGTGTGTGTGTGGCCTGGTAAACCCTAAATTTTGGGGACAAAATGTCCATAGGCCAAGTTTTGGTCCCCATGAGGAAAACAGCTTATAAATCATACTAAGTCATGTTTTTTGAAAATGCTGAAAGTTTTCTGTGATGTTTAGGGGTAGGGTTAAGTGTGTTAAGGGTTAGTGTAAGGGATAGAATATACAGTTTGTACAATATATAAACCATTGTCTATGGAAGGTCCCCATAATACATGAAAGCACAACATATATGTGTGTGTGTCAAAGGGAGACTGTGTATTTTAAGGACCATATTTCACACTTTTATAGCGTATAAACCATTATGTCTATGGATATATAAACCATTATGTCTATGGATATATAAACCATTATGTTTATGGATATATAATCCATTATGTCTATGGAAAGTCCCCATAATACATGAAAACACAACATATGTGTGTGTGTGTCAAAGGGAGACTGTGTATTTAGGACCATATTTCACACTTTTATAGCGTTCCCCCCCCAAGACCTCATTTTACACCCTTTTTCTGACTCTAAAAATTGTCTATCCTGTTTGCATATATAAATTACCAATACAGGTCCTTCTCAAAAAATTAGCATATTGTGATAAAGTTAATTATTTTCCATAATGTAATGATAAAAATGAAACTTTCATATATTTTAGATTCATTGCACACCAACTGAAATATTTCAGGTCTTTTATTGTTTTAATACTGATGATTTTGGCATACAGCTCATGAAAACCCAAAATTCCTGTCTAAAAAAATTAGCATATTTCATCCGACCAATAAAAGAAGTGTTTTTAATACAAAAAACCCCCCTCAACCTTCAAATAATTATGTTCAGTTATGCACTCAATAGTCAATACTTGGTCGGGAATCCTTTTGCAGAAATGACTGCTTCAATGCGGTGTGGCATGGAGACAATCAGCCTGTGGCACTGCTGAGGTGTTATGGAGGCCCAGGATGCTTCGATAGCGGCCTTAAGCTCATCCAGAGTGTTGGGTATTGCGTCTCTCAACTTTCTCTTCACAATATCCCACAGATTCTCTATGGGGTTCAGGTCAGGAGAGTTGGCAGGCCAATTGAGCACAGTAATACCATGGTCAGTAAACCATTTACCAGTGGTTTTGGCACTGTGAGCAGGTGCCAGGTCGTGCTGAAAAATTAAATCTTCATCTCCATAAAGCTTTTCAGCAGATGGAAGCATGAAGTGCTCCACAATCTCCTGATAGCTAGCTGCATTGACCCTGCCCTTGATAAAACAGTGGACCAACACCAGCAGCTGACATGGCACCCCAGACCATCACTGACTGTGGGTACTTGACACTGGACTTCAGGCATTTTGGCATTTCCTTCTCCCCAGTCTTCCTCCAGACTCTGGCACCTTGATTTCCGAATGACATGCAAAACTGAGCAACAGTCCAGTGCTGCTTCTCTGTAGCCCAGGTCAGGCGCTTCTGCCGCTGTTTCTGGTTCAAAAGTGGCTTGACCTGGGGAATGCGGCACCTGTAGCCCATTTCCTGCACACGCCTGTGCACGGTGGCTCTGGATGTTTCTACTCCAGACTCAGTCCACTGCTTCCGCAGGTCCCCCAAGGTCTGGAATCGGTCCTTCTCCACAATCTTCCTCAGGGTCCGGTCACCTCTTCTCGTTGTGCAGCGTTTTTTGCCACACTTTTTCCTTCCCACAGACTTCCCACTGAGGTGCCTTGATACAGCACTCTGGGAACAGCCTATTTGTTCAGAAATTTCTTTCTGTCTTACCCTCTTGCTTGAGGGTGTCAATGATGGCCTTCTGGACAGCAGTCAGGTCGGCAGTCTTACCCATGATTGCGGTTTTGAGTAATGAAACAGGCTAGGAGTTTTTAAAAGCCTCAGGAATCTTTTGCAGGTGTTTAGAGTTAATTAGTTGATTCAGATGATTAGGTTAATAGCTCGTTTAGAGACCCTTTTCATGATATGCTAATTTTTTGAGACAGGAATTTGGGGTTTTCATGAGCTGTATGCCAAAATCATCAGTATTAAAACAATAAAAGACCTGAAATGTTTCAGTTGGTGTGCAATGAATCTAAAATATATGAAAGTTAAATTTTTATCATTACATTATGGAAAATAATGAACTTTATCACAATATGCTAATTTTTTGAGAAGGACCTGTATTTACAGTCTGTTGTTCATCATGATAGACCAAGTTTCAGAATACAAATAAATGCTGGGCTGTAATATGTAAAAGCACTCATGATTGTGATGACACGACTTCTGAACAACCTTTTCTGTTAACTGCCACAGTCATTGGCCGTCTTAAAAGCAGACGCAGAGGAAGCTCGTCACGTGGTGGGGCAGCTGGGAATGGAGGCGGAGCGAGCGCGGCAGGCTGAAGTGGAGGCGCAGCAGCAAGCAGCTCTCCTGGAGGAGGCGCTAGAGAGCTTACGGCACGCAGAAAACCCACATCTACAGCTTCACCAGCTACAGTTACTGCACAGACTTCCACTCAGCTCCATCTGCAGCCTGCATGCACAGATCTGCTCCTGCTTACGCACCGTAGAACAGGTCATTCACACACCTGAGAAATTGAAGCTTTTATACTAATTACTTAAAAGTAGTATTATATTTTACAATGGTAACACTTTACAATAAGGTCTTATTTGTTAATGCATAAATTAACAGTGAGAAATTAACTTTTACAGCATTTATTAACTATTGTTAATATTAGTTAATAAAAATCTTAGCTCATGTTAGTTCACAGTGCAGTTAACTATTGTTAAACATACAACTTTTGATCTTAAAAATGCTGAGATTAACATGAACTTAGATTAATAAATGCTGTAGAAGTATTGTTCAGTGTTAGTTAACAAATTAAACCTTATTGTAAAGTGTTTAACCAAGTGTTAAGTGTTAAACCTATATTATTTAAAATACTAATATAAATAAATTAAATATAAAACAAAATGACATTATTTAAAATAAATTGTGCTAGTTTTTTGTAGTCAGTTTTAATTTGAGGGTTATTTTATTTAGCTATTTTCTTTTTTCTGAACAACAAATATTGCAATTGTGCTTTATATTTTAAATACAATATTTTTGTGATAATAAAAGGGGGGACATGTTTCATTGCCATAAAAATAATGTGAAAATGTAATTTCATCTTTTTTTCTGTTATGATTCTGGTAATATGTGACCTGAAGATTTCTTCAAGGTTCACTTAATAATCTGACTAATAAAGTAGAGCTATATTAGATTAATACTAAGGCATTTTGGACTGTATTTTAATCTTTCTTCTCTCTGTGCCTCGTTCCTTCTTTCAGGCTGTGTTCAGGAAGCAGAGATTGTATTGTCTATCTTGCGATGAGATGGGATCAGTGACGTTACCATGCCAACATGGCCTTCACTGCGAACGATGTGCATCCTCGACAGAATGCCCGCTGTGTACCGAACACCAGTAGAGCATGAATATCCCACCGTCATAAACTCTTGACGTAATTCTAATGCTTTAATCCAGACACTAAACATAAAGCCTGACCCCTCACAGGATCTCATTTGGATATTGCCGAAGTTCTCGGTTTAAAGCGGGGGCTAAATGTATCCTACAAAGCCCAAATCTAAAAGAAATGAAACCACCTCAGCCTTATCTTGGCTAAAAGCTGAGACTTTATTGAGAAATATGATCTTGTTAGATGCATATTGACCATATCAATAAGACATGCCATGCCATATCCTTTACACTAGCATGCAATCAGTCCTAAACCTCAGTGGGACCATTTTCTTCCTCAAAAAGAAAAAATTATGACATACATGATCAGTTTGTGATATTTTCATGTTTATTGTGGGGACAAAACATCACATATATAATAATATGCCTATGTCTCATTGTAATCATAATTTCCCATGTATTAATAATTGAGTTAGTGCTTAGATGAAACGCATTGAGAGATTAAGGAACCATTTAAGTGATTATCATACCAAATTCTAATATTCCCTATATGCTTTATGTAGAAGCATAACACATACAACACATATATAGTAAGACAATCCTCCCCCCCCCCCCCCCCCCCCCCCCCCCCCCCCCCCCCCCTTTTTTACATCTTTAAGTTGAAATGTCCTTCCAAAACATTCTGAAATGTTTAATGTTTACAGAAGAAATGCAGTTTGTGTATCTTCAGTGCAGCTTAAACGACTTTTACCAGACGGGAAGATTTCATAATTAATACAGATTAGCATAGTAGGTAGCTATATAGGAAATTTACAATTACTTTTGTAGGATTTTTTAAAGGAGAAATTCCAGGGGACTGCTACACAGCGCAAAAAAAAAAAAAAGAAAAAAAAAAAAGGTTTTGCAGCTTTTCATTCTCAGGTTTTTCTTTTTTTTTTTTTTTTTGTCATGGTAAACTGGAGGGTAAAAAGCAAGGCGGCGAACACTTTTTATGTAATTCCTAGAATGTGCATATTTTATTTAATGCATTGTTTGAATTAATAAGTTTACTAAACCAACAGCACGCTCCCAACTGCAGCTTTCTGTTCATGTAAAGGCGTTTTATGTGAACACGTGGAGAACATAAATCATGTGCACTGACAAGAGCAGTCAAGCTACGGCTGTCAAAAGAGGGCTTGACTTTCGATTTATTTGGACGATTTTAGTTGAATTCAGTTTGAAGGCACAGTTATATGGGATGTTCTGCAGATGACTTGCTTTGAAACAGAACTTCACTGTGAGTTCAGAAATCACATGCTCAAGTTTTGTCCATATACAGTGTCTCAGTCTGATTTTGTAAAAGACAATAAATGTATATTTTTGGATGAAAATGTTTATTTTTTTTAATAATATCATAATTACACATCATTACATTAATTAAAAAAGTTGGGCATTAAATAATGTTTTTTATATAACAATAATAGATAGAAAAGTGAAAAAAAAAAAATTTGGTCTTGATTCATGTTTATGTCCTCTCAGGCTTCCTGAGACTTCTTTTCTCTCTGCCTGCGTAACTTAACGAAGGCCTGAGCTTCCTTTTCACCCTTCCTGGCTTCAAGTAACCTCAAAGTATTTTCACCTACAAAAACAGATGGCACAAGAGCATATTGAGTCGATACATGATACATATAACATGCTTAAGGGGGAAAAAGTACATTTTGTCATCATTTGTCAATCTCCCCTATGTCATTCCAACCTCATTTAATTTGAAACGGTGTGCATATAGGTGACGTACTGTTGGGTTTGGGGTGCATCAAAGGTAGGCGTATCTGTGCGGGCTCTGGATTATGGGGTCCGCCTCCGACTCCTGGCACTGCCTTAAGAGACAGAAACGCCTCTCCTTCGAAGTCATCGCTCCTCAAAGTGTCATGGTCCAGCACTGTCACCAGCAGACATGCTCCTGGAGACTGGCACTTCTCTAATGTAACGGAACTGTTACCCCCAGAGGACAGAAGCCACATTACAACCATAAAACAGCAATAGCATTTATATTTTGGATCCTCTAAAGCAGGGGTTCTCAACTCTGGCCCTTGAGGTCCACTTTTCTGCAGAATTTGGCTTCAACCCTGATCTAACTCACTCGCCTGTAACTTTCTAGTAATGCTAAAGACCTTGACTAGCTTGTTCAGGGTTGGAGAAAAGCTCTGCAGGAAAGTGGACCTCTAAAGACACCCACATCTCTATTCAATTTAGCAGTTTGTATTTGTTCTTTCTCTTTGTCACCCTCTACTAATGTTAGGATGTGCCATAAACTAATGAGCTAAATGATGTAGATTGAACTAATGAGTGAACAAGGGTGATACGGGTTACTGAAAGGCTTTTATAAAGAGCCTAAGTGGCCATTTTCAACTAAAAAAGGTAAACCTTTTATGCGTTTTGGCCATTCATTTATACAACTACGATGTTTTGGGGGCCATAAAACAGGTTTCAAACTGCAAGTGTTTAAAAATGATACCGTTACTGTCTCCGTCTAAACTACAAAAACGTGAATTTTTGAAAACGATGACGCCATGCGTATTATGTGTTCAGTCTATAGGCGTTTATCTTTACAAAGTAACATCGCTAACTAGTGTGGCATACGTAGAACAGCGTTTTTTTTGTCGTTTTCATGAATCTGTGTGAACGGGATCATTTTGACAACCTTATTGTTTGTATGCAAAAAAACATTTCCGTTTTTAGTACATTCTTGTTTTGTAAACACCCTAAATTTGGGGCTTTTACTAAAAGAGAGCTTAAAAGTGAAAGTGTGTGTGGCATTATCAGCATCTCCCTCGCTGCATAATGCATGTACAGCTCCAATTAAATTGAGATCATTCCATCACAAATTAACCTCTCAATGAGTAACATTGGCTGTCTATTATTATAGACTACAAAACATTATACATTTTTTTTCAAATGAATTTTAATCCTCTACATCTGTTTATCTTAATACCCAGCCAATGAGAAAAGAGGGAGTTTTATATGACTTCAGATTCTAAAAGTGAACTGAATCCGTAAGGGTGTTTGTTGCCATGAGAGTGAGTGCTTCGTTTACATACAATTCAAAGGACTCTTCAAACAATGGGTTGAGATCACAGTTCTTGATTTTGGTGGATCGTGACTCTACTTCAGAGAACACGTGTCTTGGTTCTAGAGACAGCTGAACAAAAGGGTCACTGGAACCTGTAATGAACAAAACAATCCAGTTTTAAAGGATCAACAGACACAAAATGAGTTCTGAGAAAAGCTGCAGCATCATTTATGTGCCGATACCACTTCTGAAATGTATCTAATGCAATGACATTCAGATATTTTTAAAGGGATAGTTCACCCAAAAATGACAATTCTGTCACCATTTATTCACCCTCAAGTTGTTCCAAATCTGTATGAATTTATTTCTTCTGCTGAACACAAACGATATTTTGAAGAATGTGGGTAACCAAACAGTTGATGGGCTCCATTGACTTCCATAGTATCTATGGTAGTCAATGGGGCCCATCAACTGTTTGGTTACAGACGTTCTTCAAAATATCTTCCTTTGTGTTCCACAGAAGACCTACTAGTTCATGATTCATCAGATTTCCACATTCTTTTAGATTAGCAAGCATAATATAAAAGGAGAGCGTTTGTCTTCTCACCATTTGAGTCGAGAGGAATTAGATTGACAGCGTTGAGAACCTCTACATGCAGTTTCTCCTCTGAGCGTTTGTACGAGGTGATGAGAGTGACGGCTCCGTATTTCTCTCCGTTAAACACTTTCTGTAAGAAATGTAAACAAATCCATGTCAGGAACACTTTGCTGGATCTTATGGGTAATTTCATACTCTGATCTCACCTGTTCCCACACATTCCTCTCGAAGAACTTCTCTATCAGCTGGTTAGAGCTTAAAGAGTTTTGCGTCAGGTTTACCCGCAACGTCTGAGGAAAAATAATCATGGATACACAATCGTTCAAAAGCTTGGTGTTGGTGAGATTTTTTCATTTTTTGAAAAAGAAGTCTTTTATGCTTACCATGGCTGCATTTATTTGATCAAAAATTGTAAAATCAGTCATATTGTGAAATATAATAAGTCAATTTAAGATAAGTGTTTTCTATTTGAATATATTTTAAAATGTAATCAATTCCTGTGATGCAAATCTGAATTTTCAGCATCTTCAATGTCTCATGATCCTTCAGAAATCGTTCTAATATACTGATTTGGATCTTTTTTATTACCAATGTTAAAAACAGTTGTTCTGCATAATATTTTAATGAAAAATGTTCATTCTTTAATGAATAGAAAGTTCAAACAAACAGCATTTATTTGAAATAGAAATCTTTTGTGACATTATAAATCTATTTACTGTTACTTTTTATCAAAGTAATGCATTTTTGCTGAATGAAAGTATTAAAACCACTTTTGCGCAGTAGTATACATATTTGAAAGGGAACAAACAGATATAAAAACAAGAGCATAAAACAATAACACTGACCTTATATTCCTCAGTATGTAGTGTTTCATTAGGTAGTCCATTACCTTCAGCATAAAAACACTGTTCTAAACACTGACAAAACAAACACATAAAACTAGATTTTTGCATTTCTGAAGAAAATATGAGGAGTGATTTATCTATGCAAAACTTTCCCCCGTGCTAAAAGGTTACTGATGCGTTCTGGGTAATGTATTAATATGTGGTTCTGGGTAGAAAATTGTAATTCTGACAGTTTAGAAACAAACCACACGCTTTGAAGTAGCATCCGTGCGGGACGAGTTACATGCTAGAGTGTAATATTTAGGGTTAGACTGAAAGGCTGCACTAACCTGCAGTGTGTAGAGTAATCTCTGAAAGTAAACCAGGTGACTGTCCTCTAGCTGAGACATCTGATGCAGAATCTTAACTGAGTTCATCCACAATGGAGTAAGAAGACTGAAAGAGACAATAAAACCTATAAGAAGGCTAAAATATACAGATATAGTCACGCTGAAGAAAAAAAAAGTTAAGATACCTGTTAAAATTCTCCTGAACCAAATTCTCATTCATATACTTCAGCTCTTTTTCCAGATATTTCATTAAAGGAACCACAGCCTGAAAATAGAGATTTAAATACTCAGTATTGCAGTGGTTTAGAAAAAAAGTTATTTTAAACCTCTAGCTGATAAAACTCAAACACAAATGCCTTACTTCCTCTGTATCTCTGGAGGGAAGCCTTTGACGCGAAGCCATGTTGCGAACATGTGTCTCAATGTCTGTCTTTAACTAAAAAGAGTGACATCAAACATGATAAAATGTGTTCTGGTTGTTTTGTGAAAGCATCACTGAGCACTCTCTTATTCTTATAGAAAAACTGGCATGTTAATCTTACTCGGAGGATGTTCTAGCTAACGTTGTGGCAAGGTTCACTCAAAGTTATGAACAAACATTCTTCCAGTAACATTGATAATACATTTGTTCGAAGTTATCTGGTCTTTAATAATGTTCTCAAAAAGATCATACATCATTCATGGAACGTTTATAACACTACCTGTTTTTCTGTTCAACAATAGCCATGTTATGAAAAAAGTCTTCAGGCTGATTTTTATGATTTAGAGCAGATTATTTCCATCATACTTTGACAACAGTACTATAGACAGTGTTGGGGAAATTTACTTTTAAAAGTAATGTGTTACAATATTGCATTACTCCCTAAAAGTAACTAATTGTATTACTTGGTTATTTTTTTATGGAAAGTAAGGGGCTATGTTACTTTTGCATTACTTTTTCTCACTTGGGCTGGCCTTGCTTGTTTTTCTATAACAAAACAGTTCTATTTTTGGTTCTATTTTCACACCAAAAGTGAAATAAAAAGCCTCAGGCTGAAGGAAATGTAAATTCACGCCTGTACAGGGGAGGGCGCAGCTCAAACAAATTCTCAACTGTGCAGCCATTCTGGAATAGGACGCAGGAGAAGAAAGTTCAACACTTACTTTAACAAAAAAAAAAGAAAAAAAGTTATTTTAGCTTATTAGTATGGTTGAATTGGATCCTCAAAGGTAAGTATCAACGACATTGGTCTATAAAGTGAGATTAAATACATACAGTATATTTGTGCTATTTAACATATTTAATTATTGCAGGTTTGTGTAATATTCAGAGTTTGCATTTCACTGTTTTTATTCATTTTGAGGAATACTGAATCTGTTTTTGTGCAAGTGAGATGAGTAACTGCCTGCTGACATAAGTCTAGAACTACAATAACCATCATGTTTACACACAACACCTCTGCCCTTACTCACAATTTCTCTCAACATGGGGTAACTTGTGTTACTTATTTGAAAATGTAACTAATATATTTAGTTGTAAATTCAAAATGAATGCGGTACTTTTCCTCGTTACTTAAAAAAGTAATCTGATTACGTAACTCACGTTACTTGTAATGCGTTACACCCAACACTGAGTATAAATGCCAGTTTGGAGACACAGATTGTACTCTCAATAGTAAAATTTATATAAAACTATGAAATGACCAATGAAATAATCTCTCAACTGATGCCATTGATTGATAATGTAATCGCAGTTATGATACCTTCTTCCCGAGCGTGTCGACTGCAGAACGGATCTCTCGGTTCAGGAGGGACTGTGTGTGTTGCAGCTGTGATGGAAGTGTATTCTGGAACTGAGTTTCTCCAATCACGTTTTGCGTGCGTTCCCGGAGCCCTGCCCAGTTTAGCCGCTGTGGCAGACGTGTTAGAACGGTGTGCAGATGCTCTAGATCGTTCACGACCACGCACAGCTAAACCATGAGGAGATACAATTATAACCAAATGCACATAATTATAAAAATCAAGCTAAAACACCATGCAAAGTTAAAGAACATACATCACATGAGAGACTCTATCAGAAAAACAAGATGTTAATACAAATTATTATATAAACCAGACAGAATATGCTACATGTCAGCTGACAACTAGATATAGAACGAATAAGTAATTTTCCATGCACATCTAAAAGAAATCTAAAAGAATGACATCTATATCACTATTCATATATGTTTTCTAAACATAATCATGTGCTGTGGATGTATGCTTTTTATTTTATATTATATTATTTTATTTTAAGCAGGCCATAAACCAACCATTGTATTACCCATTATTTTAATCAAAAGTAAAGGTAATCCAGATATCAAAATATTTGCATGCAAATTACTAATAAAAAAAAAAAAGAGTACATTCGAAGAAGTAAATATCAACCATCACAAAAATTCTGTACTGGATTAACAATAAAAAACAAAGAAGTCTTTGTTTCGAATGGGGGTGACAATATGTCTGTGAAACATAGGGCTCTGAAAGGGGCTCATGGTTTCTAACCACTATCCATAGACAGAAACATTTAGAATAGGATTTTGAGCAGCAAGTACAGTGAATATGTATGAGTGACATCATCATTATCATCATCATCTCACCATTTTTATCGCACTGTCTCGATCCGAGTTCACAGAGAGCTCCTTCACTCGAGCCTTCAGCATCTGACAGTATGTCGATGAAATCTTACACACATCCTGTAACACACAATGCACACAAATTAAGAGAGAGCTATTTGGTCACACTGTAAAATGCACATCCACTGTATCCCACAGTTCAATTAAATGCTACAATTTTAGTGTGCATGTGTGTACCTCTGTGAGTTTGACCATAAGCATGAAGGCCTCCTCCGGGTCAGGCCAGCTCAACTGTTCCCAGAGCTGAGCAACGGGATGCAAACATGCTGCAATGTCCACTGCAGAGGAGCTGTGCTTGATGGGAACTGCTCCAGTCTGCAGCGGCTGCAACTACAAGAGACGCACAGAGAGACACGATGTGAGTATGTACCTTCACCTTTAAAGTCAACATGTTCAGCTTATCACGGCATTTACATTTTTGCTTAATGTGAATTAATAAGAACAATGATAAAACCGTTTTTACCTGATCCACTTGCACAGCCTTTTCCACCCTCGCCATAGTGGTGCTAAAGGCTTTATTTAACCAATATGGAAGAGCATCTCTGAAGTCCTCATGGAAACTTGTGAGCTGCAGTAACTTGCCTCTATAAGAGAAATCAATACTTCATGTTTGTGATAAAGACAGAAAATACCCCAGCCATTTTTAGGACTTTAACTAACGTGGTAAGGTTCTCTCAAGGTTATGAACAAAATGCATTCTGATTAAATATTAACACTGGCAAACATCTGACCTTTTTTGTAAGAAGGCTTTGTCTTTGTGGATGGCTTGCAAAGTGAGATACACAGGAAACAGGCTGTTTGCCAGCGGCTGATCCATTTGATTCTCCAACTGAGAGAGTGTAGCTCGCAACTCATCAGCCAGCTGTTCACACACACACAACAGTTAAGGGACAACCAATAATCTACTGACCATAAAAAAAGTCTAATCAGAGAAGAAATGCAGAGTAGTTTTTTTATGTATATTTCTTGATTCTCACCAGAGAGTCCAGTTTTTGGTAAACCACAGTGAAAACATCCAACTGCACAGCACTGGAAACAGAGTATTTTATTACAATGAGTCATAAAGACTACTTGTCAGTGATGTGATGGACAAGAATGGCTATCAAACTAACTGACCATTGTTTAAGTGGCACAAAAATAGCCAAAAAACAAGTTTAAGAATGGTGAAGATTAGGCTTAATATAGTATACATAATGCAAATATATCCAACGAGCAGCAGATAGGCCTATATTCAGCACCGACATCCTGAAGAAATTCAATGGTTGGGAGTTAATGAGCTGACTAAATTACAACAGAAAACAACCTTATAGGTTATAGTATATATGCATTAGTATATATACAGTTCATTATTCTTACCTGACAAACACCTTATTCCAGACATCTTTACTGAGTCGAACGTCTTCTTGCACTTCTCCAATCAACCGAGAGAGGGCGCTGACGCTCTCTAACAGATCCTGTCAAAGAGCAATTATCATGAACCTAAACTCACAAAATGATTGGAATAATAGGCTATATTTTCTATATACATCTAGAATGAATGTCAATAATCTGCATGGTTTCTCACCTTGGTCATTGGCTGATGTAAACCTTTTTTGATGTTAAACCACTCTACGGTGCCATTCTGGGAGAAAAGGAACATGCTTTTAGGTGATTAAGACTTTTAAAAGGTTTTAAATGAATAACTATTATTTAAAAATATAGCGATTAAAATATTTAGTTGAAATGTGTTTAATTTGTAATATTTGAATTGAGTCATACATATAAAGTCCCAAAACTGGCCTGTTTGTTCTCATGTACACAGAAAAACATTATTTTGGACAGGTGTGCAAAAAGTATTTTATTGTGGTGTAACGTGTAAGATAAATATAAAATAAACTCACAACAACAGCATCTGTGACCTCAACGTGCAAGTCAAATTGAGCAGGATTGAGCTTCTGAAATGCTCGGGTCTTACAAATCTGGACAAGAACTCTATATAAACACAAAACATAAATATACTTTATGGGAGTTCTGCATAAAAACAATATAGACAGGAACAACTTATACATGGTTAACTTATGTTATGTAAGTTTGTGTGTGTTACCTGAGCAGTGTATGCAGCCGTGGTGTTGTTTTAGGGGTTGGAGGATAGATGTCCCTGTATTTGGACACTAAGCAGAGCCCATACTGCAGAAACCCATGCAGAGAGTCACCTAGCTCCTGTTTCTGTTAGCAAACAAACAAAACACTATCTTGATTATCAAAATTATCTGGCAAAAAAAGGCAAAATACACTGGAAAAACTAAAAATGGTAAACTAAAAATGGTAAATTAACTGGTTTTATTCAAGACAAAAATATTTGAACTATCCTAACACTGAACTAACCTATAGTATGTATATACATTAATTTATACCAACAAAACAAATGTTTATGGGCAAATCAGGTACAAATCCCTCTTAAAGGTAACAAGTGTACAGCTACAGGTTTTATTTTACTGTGCAAGAAGAAGACAAAAGCCCACAATATAATCCGTTATTATTATTTGTTTGGTTCTCTCTTGTTTTTGCATGTGTTCCTGATTTCTTGCCTGTCCAAACATTATCTCCACTCAGTTTGGCATGTTTCATTGCAGTATCACAAATAAAACAATTAACAAAATATGAAATCATTTTAAATAATATTTCAATAAAGGGATAAGATGTAAATTTTCCTAGACGGACATGATATATATATATATATATATATATAATGTTATATATATTACATATACATATATATACAGCATATGCATATACCTGTCTTGGGTTGGTAAGGTTTTTAAAGTCTCACATTAAGGTGATCAAAAATACAGTAAAAAAAAATTGTGAACAAAAAAAACCTTCAAATTTAAAATTACTGTTTTCTATTTTAATATAATTTCAAATGAAATTTATTCCTGTGATGCAAAGCTGAATTTTCAGCATCATAACTCTAATATTTTTGTGGAAACCTTTTCGGGATTCTTTGATGAATAGAAAGTTCAAAAGGACAGTATTTAAGATTGAAATCCTTTTTAGCATTATAAATGTGTTTATTGTGACTTTTAATCAATTTAATGCATTTTTGCTAAATAAAAGTATTTTATTTAAAAAAATAAAATAAACGGTAGTCTATGTATTTATGTATATACAGTATTTTTATATATATACACAAAAACAGCAGAAATGAACCAAAAAGTTTGCCATGAAACATTTTTGCTACTTTGGTGTGACAGCAAAGACAGCTCGACTTTACCACAACATGACTCTTGGATTTGATGACATGATATCAGTTGAAAACACTGATGATTTATGTGATAAACTGTGAACACATCATGTGACACAGTTGCAACATTCCTGCTTGTGACTCAATGTAGCAAGTACTATCTAATTCTGTACATCAACACCCACTCTGAAATCTGTATGTGTCAACTTTCATATCACATAGCCTAAAAAACTACACAAGAATCACCAACCTGCTGGTGGGGGAGTTCCTGTTGGCACCAGTGATACTCTATACTGGTTAGCTGCTGGAAAAGCACGGTTGAGTCCACCTCCAGGTTTTGGTACAGTTTGCTGTATGCTACCCACTTCCTGTTTAACCCCACAAACAACCCATACAAATGCAAAATAGATTTAAATCAGTCAGCATGTACTCCATTCATTACATTTAAACTGCTCAATAACACTGTTGAGTTCAGATATGTTAAGAGTGATATATGACATGTTCTTACGCCAAGTCTTGGAGGAAAGGTGAAATGTCATTCTGGTTGGCATAGTACTCGAGCAGGGCCGTCCCCTCCCCACACAACTCTCCCTTCCACGGGTTACTGTCCTGAGGGGTGAGAGTAGAGTAGGAATGAAAAAGAGAGAGAGAGAGATGCAGAAAATATTGTGAAAAGAATAGCTGAGTTTAAACTTTACAGTATATAAGCAGTAAAGTGCAGCAGGAAGTGTTGTTGAAGCTTACACAAACAGTGGCCGTTTTAGAAAGATATTTCATCATTTTTTAGAGAAGCTTTCATTAATTCTCTCTTAAAGATTTACAGTACCTGTTGTTTAGAGATATGAGCTTGAACAAATTGTTGCAGGATGCCACAGTAGTTCACATAAGGACTCCGTCCAGCACTCAGGTTCTCATCTCTCTGCCAATCATAATTCAATCATCAGATTCAACAATCAAGTAAATAAACTATATATGAAGTGTACTAAAAGTCTAATAGACAGGTTGCGATGTTCATCTCTGGTACAACTTTGCCACTTTGTTAGTCATTTACTTTGGATAACATACCACACATCACTGTTATTTCAGTATTTATATACTATTATAGTTTTTTCACATTTTAAATTAATATTTGCATTTATTTTTATATTTTCAGCATTCATTTTAATTTTAGTTTATACTTTGTTATATGCTTTTGTCATTATTATTATTATTTTTTAAATATAACTTTTTAGATTTAATTTATTTTTATTTCAGTTTTAGCTCTTATTAATTTCCAGTTAGTCATTTTAGTGCTTCAACTCAAATTTATTTCAGTTATTTGCCAAGGCAACATTTCTAATTTTAGTTTAAGTTTTTCATCTCTTATTTATATTATATTTTAGTTTTATTTCGATTAACAGTTTTGGTTTTATTTGAGTTAATGATAATAACCGTGCCATACATAATCATGCATGAATATTTAGGTTCAGTTCTCAAACATTACAAGATGAATTGAAAATAAGGCCACATGCTGTGGTCATTCACACACAGTTGCACTTCACTTTTAAAAAAAAAACATACATTCAAATGACACTTCTTAAAAAAGTACTTGCAACACAGTGGAAAATCCTTTTTGTGATCTTTACCAGTTACCCAAACAAAAATCACCATTTTAAGTACTGGACAACATGATGACCAGCTGATTCACACAGGAGAAAAAGCCTTCACCTCTTTATGAATGAATTTAAGCTGAAGATGACACTGTCCTCTGTCTGGGTATGTCTCTGTTCGGGGCTCCAGGTTATACCACGTGTCCTCTGTGCAATGCAGGTCCTGCCCACAACACACATATATACAGTAAAACACATGCCATGCAACAGAAATATGAGAGATTGAGATTTCTGTGTACTTTATATCATAATAATAATATCATATTATAATATTTATTTAAATATTGCATGAACAATATTTGTGTCTGATGTAGGACAGGGCTTGATACAGGTCTGATGTTTTGAAAATCATAATAATAGAGTCATTAACCAGTGATGCAGAATACCTTCAGTTTTAGAACAATATACCCCAAAAAATCATCCTGGCCTTTCTCTTTTTTTGCATCTTTTAGCATCCTGTGAAGAGACAGATGAACACTCAACATTAAATTAAATGCCAGCACCATTTGGAAAAAAAATTTGTTAAGTGAAATACTTTAATTTTAAAATATTTATCTTAAATTTGTAAAAGCTTGTAAAGCCTTAAATGTTTCAAACCTTTTAAGTCCATGGATGTTTGTGCGAAACTCATCAAATTTTTGCACTAGTGACACCTCCTCATCTTTGTCCCTTTAAAACAAACATTTCTGAGGTATTTAGAATTAAAATATACTAAAAACATATACAGTACAATCAGTATTTAAAAAAAAATCTCTTCACTCACCACATCTCAATGTGGAAATTGGCATTTGAGATGTCTTCAAACTCTCTGTAAAAGAGGAGCAAGCGTTGAGACAAAACGATCCATAAACAGCCGGTCAAATACTTTCTATAAAGGTTTTGCGTACTCACAGTTTGAAGGTCTCGTCCCAGATGGGGTTGAGAGTCTGTTTCTTTATAGTTGTCTGCAACACCTGCCCCTTAGCTGAATCCCGCACTACTGCTTTCTGAGGTTTATTGGATGATCCACCTCCATGAGAATCCTTGTCTTCATATAGGATCGACAGCAGGCAGTACGGATCACTGAATCCTGTTAGCAAAAATGCAGAGAAGGTCAGACACATCTAAGAGGTTGTCTGGATATTAGTTATTTTAAAAATGTCTGAAAATCCAATAAGTTTTTGTATGTTTCTTATACTATACTGTAAAATTAATAAAATGCAGATCATACCACTAATGTCCTTCCCCAGAATTCCCTTAGCTTGTTTCACTGTAACCACGAGGCAGTAGATCGGGACCTAGTCATGGAGAAATTTACATAACAACAACAAACAAGCTAAAATAACATCACTGGTATGCGGTAAGAGGCAAGCTTTTCTTGCAATCTTGTTGCATGTCAAGTTTGCAGATGCTTTTCCGAACACATGAGAACACATAATACTTTCCTGGGGTCTTGATCAGTAATGACTAGCTGACTGTACATTATGCCTTATAGATTACACATATGTGACATAGAAGATTATATAATCATTTAATGTAAATTTTTGGACATTATTCTTACCAACAAGCTCTGGACTTTTTCACTCAAGGTTTTATGCTCTGCCTCTGTCATGGAGAATGCCTGTCAGAGAATGAATATTTAAAGCACAATTATTAAAACATACTAAATGCAATACTTTAACAACTACAAGACTACAAAAACAAAAATCCAGAAGCGTGTGTTGTACCTCTCTTATATAGTCTTGAAACTGCTTGGCACTGTATCGCTCTTTTGTGTGTGGTCTTCCTAAACTATGATTGATTGTGTACAGAAGTTCCTTATACAGCGGTTTGAGCTGCAGGGACAATAATAGTCATTATTTCACAATGCTCACAGGAAAATACTTGAAGTTATCTGACTCTGATGAATCATTACCTCCTTCTCTTTATGTCTCTTTTCACTCTCCTCTGGGTTCTCTGAGTCTTTGAAATCCTTGGAGATATAGCAAATATAATAATTGGTTTAAATAATATAATTTCCTATTCACTGCTGGGTAGTAACTGATTACATGTAATCTTGATTACGTAATCAGATTCCAAAAATTAAGTACTTGTAATTATATTATATTATATTTTAAAATACTTGTAATCAGATTACAGTTAGTTTTTTATTGATTACATGATTACCGTACATGTTATTCTCACAATGGCAATAAATTATTCATAATTCATTGATTCTCCATACTACTACAAGCAGACAAACAAATAAAATCTTTTTAAAAATCTTTTTTAGTAAGTGTTACTTTTCATTAAACTCATGAACCCCCTGCAGTTCCATCTCAAACCACAGTTTGGGAAACCCAGATGTAATGTAATATTAAATGCACTTCATGTTATTGATAACAAAGAATGAAATATTTTTTTTTCTCTTGGTATTTTTTTTTTATCAATATGGTACAAGATTATCCTATTCAAATCAATGTGATAAACGAGTTAGCTCGAAGGTCATCTAAAAGTACAAGATTATCATATTCAAATCAAAAGTAGTCCGATTATGTCACCATAAAGGTGTAATGTAATGGATTACTTTACTAACTACAATTTTTGTCTTGTAATTTGGAATCAGTAACCGAAAACAATTTGTAAGTAATCTACCCAGCACTGCTCCTACTTTCGAAAATATAAGTGGCATCAATACACTTTTAAAATCCCTTAAAAAAAAAAAAAAAAAAAAACATTTTATGAGAGATTACAGAAGGAATAATTCCTTACCTTTCTGTTTAGTTTTCTGGTCATGCCAATTCTCCGTGCAGGGGAGGACTGAAAGAGGAACAAGAGTTTCAATTAAATTCAATGAGTGAGACAGAAAGAAAGAAAGAAAGAAAGAAAGAAAGAAAGAAAGAAAGAAAGAAAGAAAGAAAGAAAGAAAGAAAGAAAGAAAGAAAGAAAGAAAGAAAGAAAGAAAGAAAGAAAGAAAGAAAGAAAGAAAGAAAGAAAGAAAGAAAGAACTCATACAATACCTGTCTCGGTCGGATCCGAGTGGACCCTGCACTTTCATTGTGGGACTACAGATATAAACATATAAAACAAAGAAAGTAATTGATAATAAATATACAAAAGCATTGTTAAAAATAATATAGAAACAACGTCCAAATACAGTACTCCTGTGTACTTCTTACAGTCCTACGGCACAGTGGTTAGCACTTTCACCTCACAGCTAGAAGGTCGAGCCCCGGCTGAGCCAGGAGGCCTTTCTGTGTGGAGTTTGCATGTCCACAATCCAAAAACATGCAGTATGGGTGAATTGGAGGTTAAATCGTCCGTAGGTGTAAATGTGTGTGTGAACACCAAGCCTGCATGTAATGGAAAGGATTGGGGAAAGACCTGGTGTCCGACCCAGAAAAAATCCTCACCAAGAAAATTCATGACCCTTAGAATCACCAAGAGTCAAATACGACTGATATGGGAATGAATGATTTCAAACACAAGTCTTTATTCATAGACTCTGTGATCAATCATGACATAATTATTACATCATATGTTTGTCTGTTACTAATTATTCCAAGATATAAAATCACATATATAATTTCACATAAACCCTTATGTGATAATGATCAAGTGCCAGGCTCTACACGGAACATCCCTATGCAAATATGTGATATTGGCCTGTCGTCTCTGCTGTTCTCTGTACTTCCTTATTATTAGCAATAAGGAAACCTCATGACAGTGACCCACAATCATGGGTTTTTCTCTGACAGAACACATGTCTAGTGTGTAGCGAGTAAAGACGCCTTAATCTTACTGAAAAAAGAAATAAAGGAACATGTTGCCCTGGAAAAGAAACTAGTGGTTGTGGCTATTAACTGTGATATTGTGAATATATTGTGTGTGTATATACCAGCAACATGTCCCCAATACCAGCAATCCCCATGAGGAAAACAGCGAATAAATCAATAAATCATACTAAGTGATGCTTCTTTGAAAATGTAAAAATGCAGAAAGTTTTCTGTGATGGGCTTAGGGTTAGGAGATAAAATATACAGTTTGTACAGTATAAAAATCCATATGTCTATGGAATGTCCCCATAAAACATGGAAACCCAACATGTGTGTGTGTGTGTGTGTGTGTGTGTGTGTGTGTTTTAACATCAAGAGTTTAGGTTAAAATGTACCATTTTTAATCACCTTTTGGCATTTTTGCAGTTAATAATAGCTCAAAATAGTCCTGTAGTGTGATAAATTACAGTATTTTGCAGAAGTACAAATATTATCACTCAATTAAATGAAGTCAGCAAAACTGAACGGTAATTATAAAAGTATTATTAAAAAAAAATTACATTTGTTTTAAAATATAGCACTGTGGGACACCGGTGTCACTGTTTGGCATGTCAACTAAATAATTGCATACTTAAGATGAGAGATCAGGCTTAATAATTTCAAAATACTAAAAATAATTTATGAAGATAAAAATAAAAAAAGATTTTTAAATAGCCATGCATTTTACTAACCTCTTTAGGAGGAAGAAGTAGATTTTCCCCCTGTGTGGATGCCCCATCTTGGACTGGTACCATATTTTACGGCTTGTTTTTGACCTCCACTCCTTTACATGAGATACACCTCACCCGGTTATTATTCAGATCTCTGAAACACAAGCAATGTAATTAGGTGAAGGATGCCGACAGCTTTTCTTTAGTGCTCTATCAAAGAGTCAGCCGCTTAAATGGACCAAAGTGTTGAGTCTTCACAAACGTCTCATGTTTAGGAGCGCAGCAGTGTTTCATTTAGGGTGCGGAAGTTGCCGTTTCCTGTTAAAGGTCGGACCTGCAACTGAACTGTTTCTTCATACAGCAGAAACTGCTACCACGTCTTCTCCTCTTGTTGTTCTGTCACTCCATCTTCCTTCCTATCTCACCATGCAGATCTCTATGCCACTCACTCTTCATCTTTACATATTTAGTCTCTATTTAAACCCCCACAGTGCAGTTCAAACAGGATGCTCTGCTCTCATATTTTCCATGGTTTGACATTTTGTAGTATGTCACCCGTCTGTAGCTGTAGCACACTAACTTCACACCATTTGACGTGAATGGTCCTTGCAGTGTGTGATCCGTTCTGGTGAATATTAGCAGATAACATTCAGTAGTATTGGAGAACACCACTGATTTGCATTACGAGAGGAAAAAGCTTCAGATCGCAAAGCAACAAAGGTGTTGAATCTAACATGTACCAAACTCTCTGTTGGGAAGAATCAGTGGGAGAATGTGTTTTTCAAAATAAAGACAGTGCTCATAAATCTGAGCATATCACGAATAGACTATATGTAGATTTACATCCTAAAAGCAACTGTAAATTAAAGGGAAGAGAGGGGGAAAAGAAGCAGTTTTTTTTTTCATAAGTCTCTACTGAAATAACTGGCAAAAACAAACACAAATAGATTAGAACAAAAACCATCTGCATTATCTACACTAAAGGGAACAAATGCTTTACTATTTCCAAGGGAGGCATAACTGCATACATTTGTTTTGTTAAGCATAATTTTGCATACAGATAGCATGCTATTTCAGTTAGGCTCAGTTATCTGCAGGACAAATTGTGATGTCAGTGTTTAAAAACTATTAGTCACTAATATAATTTATTGATTCTACCAACATATAATTTCAAATTGCATTTGTATATGGAAAAATACCACAAAAACACATTGTCCCTTCCTTAATTTGCAGTTATAAATCTACAATATAATATAATATAATATAATATAATATAATATAATATAATATAATCTCACTTCCACAGTGGTTGTAGATTGCACTGCGGTGCGAAGAGTTATAGCGGCATCATGTGGTCATTATGAAGAACTTCTGGAGTTGAGAAAGATGCGAATTTGTACCCTGGCCTGGACAACACTATACAAAACACAAACACAGCTAAAGATAAAACCAGGCGTAAAAGTTTGACAGTTTATTTATTTTTCATTTTCAATTTAATTGAAAAAGAATCTTTAGTAAACGCTAAAGCAAAACTATATATTTTTATTTTTATTTCATGTGTATCTCTCCATCCTGAATGTGTGGTACAGTAGTAGGATGTTTTGCATGTACTGTATTGCATGTTGTAGTCGTACTGAAATTCATATTGCATGTTGTCTTGTTCACTGTGTTGGATTTCATGTTGGGAGCAATTCAGTAGTATATATATATTCGTGATTGAATAGAAATGTGGACTCACTGGAAAGGCAGATTCGTGTCCGTCGTATTGATCACTGCATAGCACGCGCCGCTGGTGTAGTGGTATCATGCAAGATTCCCATTCTTGCGACCCGGGTTCGATTCCCGGGCGGCGCACAATTTATTAATCCTCTAATAATTAAATCACAAATATTACTAAATATCGTCCCACTCAGCGATAATATTAAAGAGGCTCTTTGATGAAGTGCAATAATTCCTGTGTAAACTTCAGAATTTGCCGCCAGGCCTGGTTGTATAACCAGATAAAGTATTAAAAAACAACAACATATCTGTACTTTCTGATAGAGTCTATTTTCTATTGACAATAATGTCCCGCTTGTTTTTCTGAGGTCTCGTTTACGAATACAAACCGTCGGTGTCTTTTCTCGTTAAAGCGCGTGACTGCGCGCGGCGCGGCCTATGAGTGAGCATTTTATTGGTTGGATCTACTGAATCAATACCGTTATGCACCCGTTTTTTAACAAGTCAGACTCGGTATTTTGAATCTAAACGAGACTGAGCGGCACTGATTGAAATGAGCATAGACATATTATGAGACATCGTTCATCAACGAGCAGCTGGATTGGAAAAGTGTGTAAAATGACTGATGACCATACACATTTGTGTTAATTACATGTGATTTAACATTTTTTATGGAAAGACTATTCCTAGATGGTCTTAGCAGAATTTTAATAAAAGTTTAAGCGTGTTCGATCGGATCGGTGTTTTGTAACGAATCGGTTGAGTGAATGGTTCAATGAGTCACTCTTAATGCCTCGTCACCTCATAGCGTATTTCTGAACGATTCTGAATGAATCTATTTTAGTGAACGATTCTGAATGAATCTATTTTAGTGAAGCAAGGGATTCAAAAGAAAAGATTCGCGTTACTGGGATGAATCATAGGTTCTGGTAGCCACCACCATCAAATACCATATATTATCTATTGTTGCTAAATGTAAAATCTTAATTAACAAGATAACCTTTCATATTCAGACACAGACTCTTCCTCTTCAGCCATCGTCGACAAATAATCTCTCCACGGAAACTAAAGTAAACAATTAGGTTTTACTGGGCTCAGTGCACTGTTGAAACTGCAGCGTTGTATTGCAGCATTTTGGATAACTTTTCCGTCTTACATTTCTTTTGTTTGGATAAAAACCCGTCTATTAAATGTAAACGAAGGTAACGTTAGCTTGTAGGATGTCATTTTGGAACTGAAGTGCTTCTGTTGTTGTTGCTCGGCAACAAGCGTCGTAAGTTTGCTTGAAGTTTCTATGAGGGTGTAACTGAAGTTTGAGGCAGTTTAGTGGATCGAATCATTTATATGATTTATAATTCCTTACCTATTTCCTGTTTTAAAACCCACTCATTTTAATGGATCTGCACATTTCTAGACTATCAAGATGACTGAAGTCAAATGTTTAAGGAGAGAAGCTGGCGACTCAGTACTCGAATGGTCTTGTAAAAAAAAAGGTGAAGATTTCAACATTTGTGGTCGCTGTCAGTCGTGTGTCCTCTCTCAGAAACTGCACCACTACACCCAGTGGGTGAATAAGACTGGAGGAGCATCTCAGAGGAGGTTTCTCACTGGTATCCTAGTGCGGTGCCACAATCTTCAAATCCTGGAGCATCTTCAGGGTGTTTTACAAGTGACATCAGGGAAAGATTTCACTTATTCCAGGTCCAGAGCTTTGCCCAGCAAACCCGAGGACACCATATGGAGGATGGATGGAGCTATGGACACAAAACTGCATGGAATGGGCATGTTGGAAACCTGGGAATGGTTTAGGAAGAGCCCAGACTCGACCAAGTCCAAGTATGTGCTGGGGCTCTTGTCTTTATGTGACACCCCTCTTTTGCACATGTTAGCAAATTTGGTGCATATCCTGATTGTTTGGGAGAAACACAAATTTCTTCAATTCAGCAATGCTGGTAAGAATCCACATCACCAACTGAGCAATGGTCATAATAAAAGGCATCACAATAATCACATTTAAACAAAAAGCATTTTTAGTAAATGGCACTTTAATCAGTAAAGGCACTACTTTACATTAATCTATCAATGGTTGTAGATGAAGTACCACAATACTTCAGCTCTGTAAACAGTTCTTATCAAATACTTTGAAGGTTTTTAAAGGGACAGTTCACCCAAAAATGAAAATTCTGTCATAATTTACTCACCCTCCTCAAGTTGTTCACCACTACTTGTTCACAACTTCTGCAGAACACAAAAGAAGATATTTTGAAGAATGTCAGTAACCAAAAACAGTTTGGTTACCGACATTCTTCAAAATATCTTATTTTGTGTTCAGCAGAAGAAAGAAATTCAGTGACTAAATAATGACCGAATTTTCATTTTTGAGTGAACTATCCCTTTAAACATCATCTTGCCTGATTATAGATATTTTTGCAGATCTCTCAGTTACAGAGTCACGCGTCTCCTACCATTCAGATGACCACCCGGATCTGGATCTTCTCATCAAGGCATGTACTTCATATGAGCCAGCTGATCTCCCTCGAGAAGCTCACCAGGGCAGTCAGACAGATGTCTTAAAACAGGAGCACTCAGAACAGAGTAAGTAGTGAGCTCTTTGCATAAGTGATTGGATTTAAAAAAAAATGTATGTTAAAAAGTAAATATTTTTATTATATTTATAATTGAAACCAGGCCATGATTCTGCTGATGATAATATAATACCGTTCAAAAGTTTGAAGTCGGTAAGATTTTTGAAAGTTTTTGAAGTCTCTTATGCTCACCAAGGCTGCATATTAGATAAAAAATACAGCAAAAAGAGGAATATTGTGAAATATTGTTAAAATCTGAAGCTGAATTTTCAGCAGTCATTACTCCAGTGTTCAGTGTCACATGATCCTTCAGAAATCTTGGGTGCTCAAGAAACATTTCTTTATTAATGTTATAAATATTGTTACTTAAAGCTGCAGTAGGGAGTTTTGAGAAAACGTTGACTTAGCCTGAAAATTTGAACAAGCACAACTTACAGGTCCCACCCCCTTGCTCTCTGCTGCGCTACAGCCCTCCCTCCACAGCTCGTCCTCCACAGCGGAGCCCGTCGTGAACGCGCAGGCTAGTAAACAGGGCCACACATAACGACGGATAAAAAGTTATATGGCACATTCACTAATAGGGAATAAACGTCAATAATATGCTTTACATTGACTATGGCCGGCCCATACTTTGACTACAAACTTGGTCCTCAAATCATTATGTATTTTGCAATAGCCTACATAACTTTATAACGTTGCACTCTTTCTATAAGTTATAAATAGCTAGTAAGATAACGTTAATATAACGGTAACTAACGTTACAGTATGTAAGTAATTATTCTAGCGATATATAATGCTAGATAAGGTGCGCTAGTACATTATTTCAGCAACATGACAAGCCAGTGAATTAGCAGGTTTCAATTGTTGCTTAGCAGAGTGCGTGACATTTTATCTACATGTTATGCGGCTAGAGTTTTGACACCGAGTTAATGGGCTCTGTGTAATTCTTTCTTTTTCGCTTGGTTATCGTCATCAGTCTTTTTCCTTTTACCTCTTTGTTTTATGAGCAGGTGTCACTCGAGAATTGGCAGTTTAGGTTGTTTCTCCGTCATAAGCACAGCTGCAGCTCGCCGGCAATCTTGAGTTTGAACGACGGCTCGCGCTGTGCAAGAGAGGGGTGTGATCAGCGCGTACACGAGCGTGATTGACACTGCTAAGACATTCCTCCTGGCTCTGATTGGTTGTTTCTGACCGGGAGCGTGTATTTCTTGCAAATGGCAATAGGACCACTGGGAGGAGCCAGAGGAGCTTGATTTTTACACAGATTATCTGTCTCATATTCTACTGTCAGGACATAATGACAGTTTTAGCAAATACATGTTTTCAAAAGTTACCTACAGGAGCTTTAACCCTCTTGGTGCTCTTCAGTCACTTTTGACTGAAAATCTTTTACATTTTTTGAAATTTTAAAAATCGTAGTTTCATCGGAATGGTCTGAACCGGAATGGCACTTGGTATATGAACACACACAAAAATTGAGGGCATGATTTGAAAAGTCTAAGTGGTCGTAAAAAAAAGAAAGAAGTCACATTGTGGTCTTCGTGGTCCAAAATGACCGGGATAGGAAATGAATGGGAAATAGGCACAAATACAGAGAATTTTTTGTGTGTACAATCTACAAATCAGCCACGATGCAGAAAAAAAGCACACAACAGTGAAGTGGTGAATCTCTAACACATCAAGAGTGCAAAACACACTCACACACATACACAATTTTTCTTTTAAAATGATTTTCAATGGGAAAAAATGGATCATAATTATTGCATAAATATTAATTAGTACCATAAAAAGTTAAATTTCAGGGGTTTGGTTTCTTTTGACCGCGAAGACCACAAGTGTGACTCCCAAATGAGGAGCACCTTGACTTTTTCCATAAATTATTGGATATTTTATATTTATTTAAAAAAGTAAATTCAATTAAAAGTAAATTACATTTATATTTGTAAGTGTTTGAATTTATTCAAGTCACCCATTTATTTGACAGTAAAGGATGCCAAATCTCTCAAGAGTATCTGTCATGAGGTTGAGCTGGACATGCAGAATTTAGACCCCTGGAACAAAAGAAAAGGGAGAGATTCTGACTCCGACAATTCTGATGATCCTGATCCTGCCCTCACCGTCGTCCCCAGGTCTTCAAAATCTCTGTCAGGGGTCAGCCGTCATAAAGATTTTATCCGAAGACTGCCAGTCGACATTGCAAAGATAATGTTGGGTAAGTCTAGTTTTCCCACTTGTCTATGAAGAGTTGACTGTTTAAACTTAACGTGAGAATTAAGTATAAACCGATTAGTTTTGGACTTAATTCTAACATGAATTCTGCATGTCTGTCACTGTTCCCAGCAATACAAAAGTGAAACAAAATAAATAGACTAACAACTTCTTCTTTTTTTTTTCAAAACAGAAACAATGGCCTCCCTCTCTTTCTTTTCTCTTTCCCAGGTGTTATAAGTTGAGCTTGACTGGTTCTTTTGAATTCAGATGCTTTGTTTCACTCGTCGTTATACTGTATGAGTGCATGCTTCGTTCATGTCATTTGTAAGCATCACTGTGTTGTTCTTTTCAGACCTGTGAAATAGTCTAGTCTTGTGCTGCTATGGAGACAACTTTATTGCCTGTGGACAAGAGGGTTAGGTTGACTCAAAAAGATACTGTATCTAGAATGTACAAGACCTAGCAACTGAACCTAAACTGAAACTAAACCACAGTCATGGCAACCAATTTCTTTTCAAGAGACCATCTATAAATAATTTCGAAATTTTAGGGAAAATTACTATCAGAAGTACTTGCATTTAGTTTTTAATCTATTTTTTATTTTTTTGTTGTCATTTACACTTCTAGGGCTTTTGGATAAGGTCTCACTGTACAACTGCAGGTGTGTGTCCAAGCACTGGCAATGGCTAACTGATGAGATCTTAACTGAGGTGGAAGTAAAGAAGAATGTTGAGAAACAGGCCATGATTTTGCAAGTAATACATGTCAAAAATCATATATATATAGTTTATTTTGTTATCTCAAAGATATCAAATATGTCACAGTATAACCTGCAGTTCAGTTGGTAAACATGGTAGCACCATTTGGTGTTTGGTTTTAGCAATGGCAACTGCATGGATTCGAATCCCAGGGAACACACAGTCTTCTGATCAATTATATACCTTCAATGCACTATACGTAGCTTAGGATAAAACATACTAATATTGTGAGTGTGTTCATTTGGTTACTTTAATAATAATCTGTCTGTGTTTTTGTCACATGAAAGTAGCTCATATAACTTTGTTCTAAATGTTACAGTTCTGATCATTTGTATGCATTTTCAGGGTAACTCAACATCTAAGGTCAACCCGGTTTATGCTAAGATCTGTGAAGTTTTAGTGCCCATCAGTGAAGGGCACAAGCAGTTTCAGCATGGAGAATATTTCCTCAAACATAAGCTGGTAAAAAAGCCACTTTTTGCACTCTGCATATACATATATACAAAGTTCTTTCATGAAACTCTAAATGGCGCAGGCTGATCCTTACTGTAAGTCAATCTGTTTGCAATCACATCGTATTATATAGGGCACAGCTTATTTGGCCATGCCAAACACTTGTCATGACAGAAATGTATATTTTTAATCTTCATTATAAACTTAGATTTGACTCTTTTGGTGTTTTTAGACACAAGAACAGGATTTGGATTCTACCTACAAAGGCTTTATAACTAAGACAGTCCAAATGGAAGAACGCAACGTGTACTGTGGAGTGTATAACATCTTGGTCCTGTTGGAAAGGTAGAATTTCTGTAGAAAATATGTTGGAAAATACTCTACAATACATTTATTAAACATATAAATGTATTTAATATAGCTAATTCGTATGTATTATATCAAAGTTTTAGAACTTCCTGTCATTTTCTCCATATAGAGAAGACCCCAGTAGAGTGATACATTATGCTGGGGGGCAGTTTGTGGCGGTTGGCTCCAGGGATCGTACCATCAGGTTCCTGCATGTCGCGTCACCCAAAGAGGTTCCTTTAGTGATCCAAGGACATGCAGGTAGTGTAAGAGCAGTTCTGGTTTGTGAAGAGAGAGACCTGGTTATCAGCGCCAGCTATGACCTCAGTATCAGGTTAGTCAGACTTTACTATGGTCGTTTAACAAACTAAAGTCATAGACAGCAGTAAAGAATGTTGTGCTTTATTTCTGTACTCCTGTACTCAAAGGTGCTGGAACCTGAAGACAGGCGTATGTACAATGATTTTTCATGGACATTTTGGCACTATAAACTGCCTGGATTTGTACGGAGATAGGCTGGTGTCTGGAGCCAAAGACTGTAGAATTAGAGGTAGGAGGTTGTGACCTGTAATATACCTGAAGGCCCATTCACACTAAGGATGATAACTATAAAACCATAAATAAAAAATAAAAAAACTTTAATAATCGTTTTAATGAGCTTTGGGAAGTCCACACCACAACTACAGTATAACAATAAAGGATACAAAAGTAACGACTATTCACAACTATAATGATGCTAACAACACCGTTATCCTTATAATTATCTTTATAATCCTTGTTCTTGATGTGAACAGGCCTTTTAAAAGGGTCTGGATCTATACATTTAAATCTTCAGTGTGCAATTTTAACTAAAACAACATCTAATTTATTTGTATTTTTGAGGCCTGAAAAGATTATTGGAAGAAGGAAAATAGACAATTGCATATTTATGTACAGATTTTTTTTTTTTTAAGTTAAATAAAATTGAGTAATATTTTGAAAAATTCCGTAAAATATGTGTTTAGGGTCGGTAAGATTTTTTGTATGTTTTTGAAAGAAGTCTGTTATGCTGTATTTATTTGATCGTAATACTGTGAACTATTCTTACAATTTAAAATATGTCTTTTTTAATACATTTTAAAATAAATTTTCTTCAGTGTCGCATGATCCTTCAGAAATTCCAATGTTGATTTGCTGCTCAAGAAACATTTCTAATTATTATCAACATTAAAAACGATTGTTCTTCTTAATATTTTTGTGGAAATCATGATACTTTTTTTCAGGATTGTTTGATTAAGACAAACTTAAAAAAACAGCATTTATTAAAAAAATTCTGTCGTAATATAAAAGTAATAATATCTCACAAAAAAAAAAAAAAATCTTACTGACCCCAATCTGTTGAACAGTAGTGTGTATTTTCTGCGTGCTGGTACATCCCTACACTGCCATTAGTGAATGTGTGTTATTCTGGCCCAAATGATGCACAATTGCCACTCTGGCACTCTACACCAAGAGGCCAAAGCCAGTAGTTTGTAAAAGTGTTTGTCTATGTGTGTATTGATCACAGTGTGGAACCTACTGACGGGGAAGTGTGTTGAGAATCTGAAGTTTAAACACCTTAAACCAATCATGTGTGTGAAGAGTAATGAAACTCTGGTGGTCAGTAGCTGTGCTGGAGGTCAGATCAGGGTATGGAGCATAGAGACGGCATCACTTACAAGGGTGAGAGAGATGCTTTGTGATCTTTTTGTGTGTGTGTGTGTGTGTGTGTGTGTGTGTGCAATCGCTAGGACACATTTCTTAATACTTAGGTCACTTTTGCAAAACTCTTCACACAGTTAAGTTCTCATAACCAACTTTCAACTTGGCACAGCAGTAATCTCTGTCATATTCAAAATGCACTAAAACTACCAATGTCTCAAGTCAAGCCATTCTTCCATAACAATAGCAAAGGTTGTCACCCGACAAACACACTTAGTCATGCATAAAACAACAACCTAAAAACACTAACAACAGGAAGCATTATACAATGTTTTCTTTTGTAAAAATGTATTTAACAAAACAAGAATGACTCTCTTCACTGTTTAGAATTCACTGCACTATGTTTCATGGTCCATGTTTAAATTGCAGTACAAAATTATTCTTCAGTTTTTATTTTTGAATAGACGGTAATGAAATTGAAAGACTAATACCTGTGTTGGTGTTCAGCTACATTTAATTGTTTTGATAATATTCCATTATTTTAGATTCAGAATATATTTCAATATGGCATTACTGTAGAAATGTGTTTTGTATTATGTTTTGTACTTACAGTAAGTTTAACTAAATAGTATGTATGTGCAAATGGTCCTGTAGGTAGGTAGTACACACAGTTTTGGTAGTGTTTGTGTCTGAGTAAATAAATAATTTGTTATTTGAAAGAAGTAGCTATTAAATGCATTTTGTCCCAAAGCAATGATAAAGGATCCACAGTTAACCCCACATAGACTGCTGCTGTGCTCACTGTGTGAAGAGTTTTGAAAATGTGACCTAAATATTGATGTATCCTAGAAATTATGTAAAAAAATAAAAAATAAAATACTGAATATACTCTTCTTGTTACAGCAAATCAGTGGTCACCAGGGTGCAGTGCTGTGCCTGTGCTTCGATCAGTGGCATATCCTCTCTGGGGGTTCAGATGGGGAGGTCAAGGCATGGAGCACCAACTGTAGCTTCAAAAAATGCCTGAGGACCTTCCAGCATCCAAAGTGACAAAACCAATCAGTGACCGTACAGCTGGTCATTCTAATCAATAACTTTTAATAGCATGATTGTGCACTTTCATAAATAATCTGATATCTTGCCTATTCTCAATTATTTTCTTTAGAGAGGTGTTGACCATGTCTTTCCTGTTCCTGCGGCTCATTACAGGCTGCATGGACGGAAAGATCCGCATCTTCAACTTCTTAAATGGAGACTGCCTGAGAGTTATAAGGACAAACATGAAGCAATGCCCTGTCCTTTCTCTACACACACACCACAACACGTGAGTTTACCCTGTATCCAGACATATTACTCAATTTTATAAGCACAATTTAATGATGCTGTTCTTTATTGTAATGCTATATTATCTGAAAAAGATTTTTGTCATGCTGTCAGTGTGGTCGTAAACACCAGAGGGAGTATTCTGATGCTCCAGTTCGCTGAGGTTCACTGGGACTACTCTGCCAGTGCTTTTTTTGAGCGGTCCCAGATCTCTCTTGAGAGTGTGCCTCGGACTTCTGAACGGACGACTCAAGGCGGTTCACCCAGCACAAAAAGTCGTTTTCACCGTTTCAAGAGCCTCTCAACCCCCAGTATGCAGCATGCTCGAGGTACCACCTTTCCAAATGCCCTATAGACTACAGTTAAATTGATATACAGAATGTAATTTCTAATCTTGACTCACAATGGATTATGATCATAGATTATGATACATGAAATGAATTGAAAAAATTAATGTTTTCAAAACACTCACGTGCAATAGCGAGTGGCCGTTGATACTGTTTTCTATGCAGTGACATTAGCCAATGATAACAGTGGTGTTTACTGACATGCCAAAGAAGCCGCCCCTTAAACATTTATTATTTCAGACAGAGGGTCAGATATAAATAAATACATATTTATTTGTTTTTTGTTGTTGTTTTTTTGCGCAAAAAAACTTTATTAACATTAGAAGTAAAACGCAAGGAACATATTAAAACAATAATAATACAAAAAATCCATGTTATGACCCCTTTAAGCATTACTATTTCTCTCTCTCATTTTTATATGAGTGGTCCATCTCCTTCCCCTACTGTTTTGTCAGATCTTTTCTTCCATATTGTGACACATTTGAGTGTCTGAGGGCAGCAGTGACTTAGTTCAATCCACCGGTTGTTCATTGGATGAAGGTGGATCTGAATGCGAGCTTGCAACCATTTGTAAGAAAGGGTTTGGGTTTGATTAAACATCACGAGGTCAACATTAAAAAAAGAAACGTAAACGGATGAATCATTCACAATAAGATCAACAACATGCATTTAGAAATTAGACGGGGTGAATTTTCACACTAACATTTCTGTGTTTGGTACCTTCAGATGCTCAGCAGGAGTCCACAAGGGCGGCGACGTGGAATCAGCTCCAGGCTCATCGTCACAACAGGACCTTCATCAACATGCAGTCTGAGTGCCTCACCAGGCCCCGATCTGTTCTCTCAGCAAGCAGTGGATATAAGGACTTTCAAAACCGAGTCAGCCGCACACCAAGCACTGCCACCACCAACTTAGGTAAGAGATTAGGCCAAATGATTCGATATGCAGGTGTTTTCTAGAACATAATTAGAAAATTATAGTTTAAGATGAAAGTTTATGCATGAAATATGAGAATGGATTCCTTATTTAAAGATAAGAAGACTTATGGCACCAAACACTCAGTACTCAGCCAGAGTGAGAAGGCAGCCCGAGACAGGGTGAGAAAGCGAGGTCCTCACCACCCGGTGACCCCTGACCTAGTTCTACTAAGGGCCAGCAGCTCCCAGCAGAGTTTGTGCAGTGACAAGGCCAGGTCCAACATGGAGCTGAACGCCAGGGTGCGAGATGCCTGGGGACCTGATTTATCCAGAGAGACATCATCTCAAACCACCAACAAAAGAACGTCTGAAATCCATGCTCCATTCACTACCCACAGCGTTGACCTCAACCCTCAGGGCTCCTTAAAGTCCAGGCAGACCTGCTTGACACCTCACTCTCTTCCCAAACAATCCCAGAGATCCTTCAAAGTAATTCGGTCTGGCACAAACAAGGTTGACCCTCTGAATACGACTTCCTCGGAAGATGGCAAGGCTCCACAGCGATTGTTTTTGAGGAGAACTTCCATGCCCACACATTGCCATGAAGATTTTAAAATGACCAAAAAGTCCAGTTCACATCACGTCCCGCTAGACCCCTTCAAGGAGCATGGTGTCTTTCAGCTGAGGACGGACACGCAACTGGACGCTTTCATTCAGGAGTGTACCAGACAGCAGCAGAGTCACAAACATGGCAGGGGTGACCAAAGTAAAAGTGTTTCCAAGCACAGCCATTGTCATCAGTAAAGGAAACTAGGTTTCATGAAGGTACTGAAATCTAAAAGCATGACACACTTTTGTTATTAGCTAACCAGACACAACTGAATTCTAAGGTTGATATTTTACTCTATAGAAGTACATAATATAATAGCATAATACAATATTTTAAATGTTATTGTGAATTTGATAAGTTGGCATTTCCTGGGGGAAAATCTAGTAGTTTAGTACATCACAGCTGGTCCAAGTAACTAACTAATACGCAGCTTGTCCCAAAACAAAGATACCAGCTTAATCTGGATTTTCAAACAGGATTCTCAGTCCAATCTGTGTTTTTTACTTCTTGTATATTTTTATGTTATAGTCTTTGACCTCACATATATTTTGATGGATAGATGTTGCATTATATCTATGCAGTTTGAGATTATTAATACATGTCTTCCTTTTGTGGGTTTATTTTGTATACATGTTTTGATGCTAGGGGGCAGCAAAGTGCAAGCTAAACTGTGTCCCACGGAAATCATAAATCATAAGTGATCCTCTCAGGGCGGAACGACGTTATGAACATTATTTGAAATAGTTTTGAATCTCTAAAGGATCTTTATACATTATAATCTTTTTACAATATTTTAAAGTGCCTGTTTAAGAGTGTTTGATCATTTCAGGCAGTGTATCACCAGTTGTATGCATATACAATCACTCTGACTTTTACTCTTATTAATGAGAGATGCTGACAAGAAGTGTAAACATAATTTGCTGAAGTTGGAGAGACATAAAATAAATTAGATTTGCCACACACTGTGAGTAAAGAGATCTTTGAAAAAAAAAATGTTTATCTCCTTCAGAACTGTTGTTTTAAGTCTCTTTGTCTTTAGCTGATTCTTATTAGGGAGCTGTTCTATTTAAAGATTGAAAGATTTGTTGAAAGTAGAGTTTATGTGGCAGTGTCAGGCAATGTAAAGCTGTCTGCTTCAAACAAATGATGTTCATCAAATGAACATCATCTGTTGAGGTTCTCTAACTCTAAAGATAAGCAGTTAGCATTTTAGTGCTGCGTTTTATGCAAGTTGCATCCAGTTATCTTCATTTCGCTTTTGTAAAAATGCAAAATGGCAATCCAGTCAAATAATGAATTATGTCAACATGAAATGAAAATTCCTGCTATCTATTTTCTAAATGCATATTATTGTGAAGACTTCTCTCTGGTGGCATACTGTATGCCTAACTCCTCTGATCATTTAGTTTGCTTAAACTTACAATCGTCAGCACGCTCGCTTTCAGCCAACTGTCTCCATCCTATCAACAACAGACGGATAGAACTAAGTTGCCGCCCTTCATTTTTTTCCCTTTTTTGATAGTTTGATTCATTTGGGTGTCACAATATTAAAGAAAGGATCTGTTGCTATACTTCCATTTCATTGCCACTTTAACGTAAAAGCCAAATGCCAATTTAAATGGATATGAATAAAATCACTTCTGATTTGTCAATGAAATGCAGCAGCCATGAGGTTTTTATCTTGCACAATATGTCTTATTAGCAGTCGTACTTTTGCTGCTTTCAGTGCTACTGTCATCTCTGTTTAACCGTCTTTCTCCCATTGAAAATGAATTAAGAATTCCATTTATCTGGAAATTCTGTAGTGTAAGTGTTTCAAATAAATGCTGCCTATGAAATATGTTTAGCCTCCACCACAACGCAGTGTTTTCTTTGGTAAGCCTTGGAATCAAGCATGGAACAAACATTTTGGATACTTTCGGGCACAATACTTGCTGGTGAGTGTCTTTTTCTTTGATTCACTTATTTAAAGCAAATGTGTTCGGCTAATGTCTAACTACAAAGTGATTTGGAGCAGAAACTAGTTACATGATACCTTTAAAAGTTGGACCTTTGATCCCAATAGTTTTTTGTCCAGCAGCTGTTGATGGCCATCCTGACCAGTTCTTTCTACTTGCCACCTGCTTTCTACCGTTGCCTTCAGGGCATTACTGAAGGGTGTGGATGAGGTTCCGTTCCAGGGAAGATTTGTTTGAGCATTCAACAGCTGTGCAGCAGTGCAGCGGAGGAAGCAAACGGCGAGTGAAAGCAGTGGAGAGTGAGGGGTGGGCTGTAAGTACGAGCAATCACCCCTCACCCCTAAAGTCCCCTCTCTCAGGAGCTCTCTTGTGCTAATTAGATTTAATCTGCAGAAAATTAGGCTTCACCGTATCCCTCTTTTCTCTCCATCCAGTGACTGTGTCTGAAATCGGGGGAGGAGAATGCACTCCTACAAGCCTTCTCAGTGGAGACCGAAATCCTGAAAACCCAGCATTGTTCCCCCAGGTAGCGGCCTTTTTGTCCAGGGTCACCGGCTCCATGGTGAGATAATGAGCGTGAAATAAAAGCAAAGGTGAACAACAGACAGGCTTCATGCAGGAGTGCGCACAAGCCTCCTGTTCCTCTCTGAGACCTGGGGTGGGACATATTGGGGCTGTTTGTTGGGGTGAGGAGGGGTGGATGCATGCAGGAAAGGAGATTTCTGGGAAAAAAGCCTCCGCTTTCTATAAAACAGCTCAGATGTTAGTTGAAAAGCTGAACAATAGTCAGAATCGGTGCATATGAATGAACAGAAGGGCTTGTGATCTCCATTTGACTGAGAGCAGAGGGATTTAGTCATGATGGTCTGTCAAATCACATTGCTGCAAATGTGCTGCATAGATGGAGATGGCAGTTGGAAACACATGGCAGGCGGTTGCTCAGAGGTCCTGGTGGTTCATATTTTAACTCCTAAACCACAGTTTATTTGCATGGCATGTTGACATTTGACAGAACTGTCCACAGGCTGGATAGACATGACATAATGAGGGTATACAGTGCTACTACAATAATTAGGTCTGATTCTGGGGAAAAAATGACTAGTTTATGCTTAGCTTTTAAATGAGCAAATCAAAGCCCCTACATATTCTTTCTCTGTGTGTGTAATTTCATGAAATATTAAAATATAATATAGCTTTTTCCTAATCGAATATCATTTAAAATACTATTTAAATTTAATTTAAAGCTGAATTATTAACAGCCATTTACTTCAATCTTCAGTCTGACATGATCCTTTAGAAATCAGTCTAATGATGCTGATTTAGTGCTCAAGAAACATTTCTTATTAGTAATGTTGAAAACAGTTAAACTTTTTTCATGATTTTTAATGAATAGAAAGTTTTAAAAGAATAGAATTTATTTGAAATAGAAATATTTTGTAATATTATACAGTTTGATCAATTTAATGCATTCTTGCTGAATTAAAGCATTAATTTCTTTTTAAAAAATCGGATCTCAGAGTACTTTTCAACATTACTGTATATATATGTACTTCATTCATGAAACTCTAGAGAGCACAGACTTCTTTATATGCAATCTGCAAGCAATCACATCATTACCGTATGGCGATGACTGATTCGCCTCTTACTCAACATTTAAATAGTCTGGTTCATTGTTTGCTGTAGGCTAGTCCTGCAGTGACTCTGAGTTACTCTGAAACCCTCCACCTCCCCCAGCTCCACCTGCCTAGATTTGCTACAGGATTTATGTATGTCTATTTATGCAGCAGCTGCACATCTTACATGCTCACGGCAGTGTTTGTGTATCTGTAAGCAGTAGGAAGTTCATACTTGCTTTGCAGTAGCTATAATCAAAAGCAGCAGCAGCATAGCAGATCTAGTCTTCTGCAACCAAGCCCATGATGCTGTTGTTAGCACCATGCTGTACTGTTTACACTGCAGCAACTGATAGCAGATGAAAGCGTTATCATTAGGAAAAATATTGAAAAAACAAATATTCAGGGGTCAGAAGAAAAGGGTCAGTGTAGTGCATGATGGCGGGGTTTCATTTCTGCCGCAACATGTGGATGGTTATGTAACCTCAGATTCTGTGTGGGCCTGCATATACAGTATGTACCGTCAGCCACACAAAATGCTTTTTCGTGAGCCTCTTTGGTAAGAACATTTCTGCCAAGAAGATTGACATGAAGTTAAGATTTATTTGAAAAGTTTGAAACGATTCATACTGCAGTCCAGTGTTAGTTCTCCATCTAGAACATTCTCCACATTGTCACAACAAAGGAATCACCATTATAGCGAGAAGCTAACCGTGAGTGTGCGTAATTCTCAACCAGGATGTGATGTGAAAGGAAACACAGTAGAAACAGATGGTTTGGTTTTCTTTGTCAAAACTATGTTTCTCTTTATTTCCTAATAATATTTTCTATGGAGAGAAATGTGAAGCTAAATATCCAGTGGCTGAAGTAAATACTTCAGTCATTGACTAAATATCCTGTCAGGAGTATAATGTGTAACTCTATCTAAACCTAATGACATCACTTAAATACAAAAACAGTGGAACGGAGAAGCCACAGCTTTTCTTTTCTAAGACTGTAAAACCTAGCGAATTGCCTTGCCTGCATATAGAGCTGCCTTCTATGAAAAACTTCACAAGTGGCTGATTTTGGACACTTACACGAGGACAAAGTGCACAAGAGATTTGACTGGACAATTGATTTCTATTACTGTTGCAAAAGTGCGACAGGAATGAGTTCTAAAACCCCCAAATAAATAAGCATTTTTGCAATTCCAGGTCCATTGTCCCAATAGGTTTGGTCTGTGGTTAGCACAAGCTCAAGATATTTTCACGTCTTATTCTACAAAACAGTAGTCAGTAATACCCCAGTAATATTTTTATAAGCTTTTATGGGTCTTAAAAAAGGCGGTCGCTAACAAGGTTAGCCTAACTTTTGCTTTTTACTTCTGCGATTGTATTTAGGCTTTATTTGTGAAGATCCTCTACTAAAAACTTTTAAGAATAAAAACTTGTCACAGAGCAGTGTTTTTAGTTAGCTAAAACTATTACTAACCATTTTCATTAAGTGAAATAAAGATGAAATAAAAATAAAGCTAAAAAAAAAGACCCACTAAATACTATGAGTACATAAATAATACTAAAATACCATGTCACAGAGTTTATTTTCCTGCAAAAATTCAAAAGTCAATGGGTTTTTTCCTTTTGTTGAGGGAACCAGGGTGATTCGAACTTCTGAGTTGGCCTACAAAAATGCGCTATTCCTGCAGCACTCTTGAATGCATTTCTTCCAGTGCAGTGTATTATGGGATTGCCATATGCAATGCAAGAATTTGGCCAAGTTATCTTAAAAGCAGCCTAAATATATACATAGTCCCTATGATGCCTCAAATGCTGCCTACGGTTTTGAAAAAGAGCCATAATGTAGCTGAGAAAACTTCGGTGGATTATCTGCAGCAACCTATAGGAACTCTCGTGTTTCTAGAAGAAGCAGATAGAAGCTGGATCAATTAGCCTTACTGATAAGGACTGAAAACGTCAGCTAAACTTGGGTGGGCAATTATTTCTAATTCCAGAGCTGTACTATTGGACTAATTACCTCCCATCTCATTCATATAGTTAACCTGATTGCTCATTGATTGGTTTTTATCAATGGCAGACGTTGTGTGGTTTTGGTAACTTTAACTTGTTCAAAGAGTCT